ATTCATTAATAGGCCCCCCTTCATCATCAATCCATGAGATATCAGATTACTATGGAAGTTTGGCGAGTACCTAGTTTGAAATAGGTTCATCTTAACGGCGCTTCCAGTGGTAGGGTTTACACCATAGATGACCACAGTGCCTATACCGGCCACCTTCGTCTCTGTATCTCCCACTTTGACGTTGCTCTGTACGCTTTTAAAGGTGCTAAACAAGCTCCGATTGTTGCATACGTGGATTTGAGCACCTGTATCAACTACCCATCTGTCTTCTGTAGGTGTAGTTGTGGCTTCAAAATCCTTGATTTTTGTTGACATAACGGTGTCAATTTTGACTGCGTTGGTTGTCAAGAAGCCAAAGGCTTCATCGTCGAGGGTTGTATTCGCTTGCTCTTTAGCAAGGGTCCCCCTTGGCCTTCTGCATATGCAGCTCGCTTCTTGTCGACAATTGCCTTCCATCTAGGATTAGCCTTCATGGCCTTCTCCCACTTCTGTTTCAATGCCGGTGAGGGCTGGTAATTAGCAGGCCTTCTATCTTCATAGATTTCCCAGCAGGCCCAAGGCATATGAACTCTCGATTTTACCCTGTCACATGGACATGGCCTTCTTTCTAGGCCATCATTCCTTGCCTCTATAGGCTTTGCTTCTTCATTGCCTTGCCATGTCGAGAAAGCAGCCTTTGAGATGCCTCTTTGCGCAGCCGGCCTGCCATGGGTAATCTTCCAGTGGGCTTTGTACCGAGTCATGATTTCGAAGAAAGGGATGTCCTGATTATCCTGTACTCTGAGAGCCCATGTTTCATAGAATCCAGGCGACATTATAGAGATTGCTTCAAGGAATTGATTCGTGGCATCCTCTGCTTCTGGCATCCTTGCCTTCTTACACGATTGGTAAAGCGATTCCCAGTTTAGAAGCCATTTCTCGATATCGGTGTTCCGATCTAGGCCTCTATCTAGGTTCCGCCACTGTTGACGGAGCTTAGTTTTGTATGTAGGATCGCTCTCTGGTGCAAATCGTTTGTGGAGATTGAGCATCAGCTCCAAAGGTGATGGTATATCAATGATAAAGGGCTGGTAGGGAGTATCAACTGACTGCCTAATTGCCACCGCCACTAGATCTAATGCCTGTAGTTTCGACTGATAGGCTCTGTTCTCTGCATCCCAATCTGCTTTTAGGGATAGCCTCACATTGAACCAGTGTTCTGGGTATTCTTTTATGGCATCTTTGACAGAGATGATCTCTTCAGGTGGTTCCAATTTAGGACGTTCTTCCTCCTTAAGAGACGGATTGCATTGATCCCATACTTTATATGCAACTGCAATTGCTTTAATATATGAGAGCCATGCATCCCATGATTCTGTATCCTTCAAAATGACGCGGGAGGAGGCCGCGGAGAGGCTTAACATGATATTCATTATTGTCGATTTTCGTCGATGAATCTGATCTTCTTCGAAGGAGATAGGGGTGCTTCGACGATTCAGGGGTTGACCGTTGTCAAAACCACTGTGAATCGGCGACAGCTAGGTAAAAGATGGTCTATATGTTGTAGACAGATCTTAATTGGAACGAAGCCGGGCTCATAACTGACAGAAATAGACGGATACGACAATGTATGGTAAATCTGACATATGTAAATTCTCTAACTAACTAAAATGACAAGATCCGCTCTTTTCCAATCTCGGCGGACATAGCTGATTAAGCAATGTATGTATTTTTGTATGGTACCGTTATCATGACGGTCCATTGATTTCCCGGTTTGTAAAGACCTGGTAATTTCAGCATGCATAAATGCATAGTACTTGACAATTTATACTAATAAAATACAGTAATCTACGGCGGTTTTATTTATACGTCTAAGGCACCCTTCGACTACTACTATTTCTAACCGCGGTCAGAAATTATCTATATATTGAAAACTCCCTTCAGACTACTACTATCTCTGACCGCGGTCAGAAATAGTATAGGCTAAAGTGGCTTTTCACGCATAAGTAATTTCTGACAGCCGTTAGAAATAGTAGTGGTGTATTGGCTTGGGTGCATTGTTGTTGTCGGATTGGTCTGTATTGTAAATGTAGGGGTCCAATCAGTGGTATTCAACTCTCTGTATTTCTGTATCGGCTCTTGGTACAATTTATATGGAGCCATGATTACATAACATTAATTACAAAAATGTGTAGGATTAATAAATCCCCCGGTATGCCGGTCGTCATGCTCCGACAGTTGTTGGATGCCTGAGGCATCACCATGTGATAGAACCCATAGTAGATAGTACACCTGCTCTCTCTCCTCCTTTCTCTCTCCTCTCTCTGTCCAACTCAATACATACAGTCTTTTCTCTATGAGTACACTCGCACTGTATCAATTGTGTTGACCCACTTCGCACTTTTCCAGAAGTCGTCCGAGAGGTGGGTATAGCGATCCGTCAGAATCGTCCTTGGTTCCTTTTAGAAGATGAGATGACCTTTCGAATGGATAAAACCAGTTATAGCTAACCTACCTGTCCCATGCAAAGAATAACGCCTGGCTTTTTTGCATTGATGGCTGCTATGAGGAGTCTGAACAATCTCTCACGTTGGTAGCCTTGAATTTGATAATTTTGCTCCTTGGATATGAATGGTCTCAGATCGAGGACTGAGACATGATGCAATAAGCACAATATATCATTCGAACCGATCCGCAATCCTTCACTCAATGAACTCAATGTTGGACACTCCGATATCACAACATTAGCCCCTTTGTGCCAGGGATGTTCTTGGAGCTGCTCTTGGAGAATTACCAATAGGCCACTGCAGGTAAATGGCTCAGCAAGCGACTTCGTGACATTAATCTCTGCATCTGAAAGTGGTATACGTCGAATTTGACGGATGTAAGAAATGATATCGTAGAAAACTTCGCTATAGGAATTCAATAAAGATGAACATATTTCAAGTTTGAAAACCTGAGCAGTGATTGTCTCCATATTGGTGCACTAGTCCGCGTCACAGAAAGACCTTATCTAGTTTCAGATGTAGATAGAATAAGTACACATCGTGGCGGCTTAGTTTCAATTTTTTAGGCAACTCAGATGAGCTCCAACTGGATTGATGAATCATAAGGATAATCAGGACCAAGTATGATAGGTTGTGTTACAAAGTTGAATGGTCTATGTCATACTCGAAAACGAAAAGTTAGCGTGGCATCGAGTTAGCAGTTCAACGCACACTTTAGAGCCCTAAGACAGAATGGCAGAAATCCGGCAGAGCACTCACGACATGTCCGTAAGAGTGAACAAGTTATCAGTGATTAAGGCACATCTGTAGTGGCAAAGTGTGGGCTGGGGCATAAATTTGGAGATTGCCTGCTATCTGTCAACTGTTGGTCGGATGGAATGTCAGTAAATTTGGTTGTGGTGTAATGTCGCAGCCCAGCGCTGCCGCGGCCGCTTATAATCTGTCTCGATAGCACCCGGCCTGCCTGTAATTCGCATCTACGTCGCTGTGGTGAATCTACTCTACCTGTAAATTACTTCTGCCGCTAGGAGACTCTTGTATTGTAGAATTTAAACTATCCGAGTCCGTCCTATGACAGATAATGGGATTATGTTGTTGTGGAAGGCAACACCAGCCTGTATCAGTATTTCGATATTCTCTTCATTTGATTACATGTAAAAGCTACACAATGTAAGAAAATTTCCACAATGTAAGAAAATTGGGCACGCATCAAGACGGCTGCCATTGATGACCTCACTTAGCTTTAGCAAACTCCCTCAATTCATCACTCTGCCTCAATTCATCACTCCCCTCGATTCATTACTCTCCCTCAATCCATCACTCTAAATTCATCAGTTACGTGCCCCAGTCATGTTTTTTTTTAGTACATTCAATATCAATAAACCTACGTAAGCAATCAAATTTACCTCTCTCTCTGAACATCTATCCGACGTAGTCTCTTCAATTCATCACATCTGTTGGGCAGACTAAGACAATATATCCATATTTTACTCACAACCATATGATTGAACAACCTATCTTGCCCACAAGCCTCTAGCCATCACAGAATGAATTGAAGCAAGATTGAAAATTCCACATTACTATTACACAAGTTTTGACCAAATCCACAGTGGACAGATAAGCGGGCCAACCAAACATACGGAGAAACGGTTCATGATGGCCTGCTGCTTCCCCGTATCAATGCTGACGCGAGATCCTTCCCCCTCGTCTTCGAGGCGGTTCTCCACGCCGCCAACAATGCTATAGCGCAAGATAACGTGAACAAAGTTGATCTGGAACAAGCTGTGGTAATGTAATACAGTGCGAGTGTACTCATAGAGAAAAGACTGTATGTATTGAGTTGGACAGAGAGAGGAGAGAGAAAGGAGGAGAGAGAAAGGAGGAGAGAGAGCAGGTGTACTATCTACTATGGGTTCTATCACATGGTGATGCCTCAGGCATCCAACATAATGGCTCAGGAAACCAAGGAGGTCGCACTCCGGCCGTCTTTGAAATCCAAGAGGCCGCGCTCAAAGCTCGCGTCAAGGAAGAGGCGTTCGAGCTTGTTCAAGTCACAGCGTCCGGGTTCAAGTGGCCAGATACCTTGGCTACGATAGATAGCGCGATAGAAGATGGTGATCTCACTGCCGAGAAAGGGGCGACGATCAAAGAGAGTATTCGACTATTATCTTTGATCTATTCAAGAATAGAACTAAAGTATACAATTTAAGAGCAAACTTGAAAGTGCGAAAACGCTGTATTAAGAGGTAACTACTTAGGTCAGAATCAAAATATTTAATAATCAAGAAATCAAAAAGCATTGAACTTTAATTCTGAAATAGTAGTGATATCGATGTATTCAGATGTATAGAATACCGATATCATAAAGTATACTGCGGAAAAAACGAGTTATGTTGCACTGGCGGTTGGAGACTGCCGTAGTATCTAGCCATCACTCTTATCACCCAAGGTAAGTTGAATATGTTTTCCTCTGGGGCTCCCGACAAACCTCCTAGTGCCCCCGATGATATATATTCAACAATTGAAGTACGGATACTCCATGGTATTTATCCTGACCAATTTGTTCCAGTGCTGCTCTTTCAAAAATGCCTGGCGGTGCCGCCGGGCTTCCGGCAACCCCATAGGCCAGTTGCTTGTGTTTTGCATGATCTCATCAACTATCTCTTTTGGTAGACCGGCAGTTTTCAGGTCCTCACCTACCTCTTGTGACCACCAGTGATGCTGCTGCGGGGGCACATTGCGGGTGGAGCAGACGCGATAGTGAGGGTCAACCAGATACAACGTGATGGAACGATAATGTCCTGGCCGAGTCCGATCAGTCAGGGAGAAGTGATTAGCGCCGTGCTCTAGGACGTTGGGAAATGCGATCAAACGGCCTTGCGAGACCGAAACTGCACCTTTATCCTGCCATGTCCTCACTCCTTGGTTATTGGTGTCCAGGTCCCAGCCTCTATATCCCAGGATCTCCGCCACTTGATTGAAATCTGAGCCGTCTTTCCCACATCTATGAGCGGGCTGCAATCGGGGATGCCACTTTTGCCCTTGCTCTTTATCCTCCCTATATCGATAAAAGCCTTCATCTAGCTTGGTATTCTGACGGAAGGTGATCTGGGGTCCGGTGATATTGTCGATATCGTATGCAAAGATGGCAACAGCTACCACGTGCTCGTTGAGCTGGCCTTCCATGTCCCATTTCTTTCCTGTGTACTCCGGGTTGCCAGGCGAAAGCTCAATGTTCTCCATGCTGACAATTATTTGCAGTCCTTGCGAGCGGAAAGTGTCCTGAAGCCGAATGGTAGATGGTTTGTGGGGAGGCGTGACTGGCTTGTATGGAATTTCCCCCAATCCTTCCGCTCGCGGACGAGATCAACCACAGGTCTCTCATTGTGGCCCGCCGTTTTCCACTCTTCGTAAGAAAATGCGGTCCCTGGCTCTGGGTGGCGGAAGCGCAGTAGGCGCTTGGCCTTCCTTTCGATCATATTCCAGGGGTATTGCTTCCAATCCTCTGGGGCAGGAACGGGAGTGGCCGATCCATCCTCGGGGAGCTCGAGATACTGCTTTGCGCGTTGCCAGAGGTCTGAATCTGGGGGTGGCAACTCCTTGTCTGCGTTTCGCTCCACGTCTGGATAGCCTTCCAGCCGTTTTTGCGCCAGCCGGTAGCTTTTGTGGCCCTCTTCCGTGTTGTCTCCCGCACTGTTCAAAAGCGCTTCTCGGATTTTGCGGTACATCGATTTCCTATGCTCCGATGGAACCCGGAAGGCGAGCAGCCATTCGGGAAGCTCATTCTCCCATTCTACCCCATAAGTAATGATCCGTAGTGGCACCGGCCCCAACTGGCCTTGATTCAGGATATCGCTCCAGCCGCGCTGTCCCGGCACCAGACAGTCATTCCACAACGGAATTGCCCGGCCCACTAGGGTTTCAATTGAACGGTAGAGGTTCTGGTGCATCGGGTGCAAATTGTTGATATATGAGGTGAGGCGCACCGTCGTCGACCCTGCATCCCCGACAAACTCTACTTCACACGGCAGGGCCTGATAATTCGCGCTCCATCGATATTGAGGCACTGTTCCAAAGTTTGGATGGACTCCCAGGTGAGGCTGAGAAGTCTGTGCAATCTGCCTCTTGACATCCGCCAAATCTGTCCTCTTGTCGAACTGAGTTGGCGCAAGGCTTGTTGCTCCTTTATACGCGCCCAGCACATTCTCTATCTCCACTCGAGCCCTATCGGCCAAAACCAAGCTCTGCCCATATACTAGTGGAAACAAGTTCGGGTCGACGATACTTAGTGTACACTTTGACCGCCAATCCAACAAGCTGGATTGGATGAGGGTCCGTAGCACCGGTAATACTGCACGTTGGAACTCATCAGCCAACTCCCCCGTTCCAAGCGCAGGAACATGATCAGACTTGCAAACGCAGGACCCAGTGTCAAACACCCGGATATGTCTTTTCTGACGATATTCGACGGCCTTATCGCGTAGTTCCCGCACGCACCAGGTCCAAGCCCGGTCACTCAGCAGGGGATTCATCTCGATGGAGGCGGTGCTGTCTTGCCGCCAGCGCGCTACGACCACACCATTGAAGACGTCAACATGCCAGTTCGGGATGTCAGTCACACGGTTCATTACTGTGGTCATAGTCAGCTCACGTGCCGTAACAGCGGGTGCCTGACGCCACTCTTTGTTTCCGTGGGCAAAGCGCGCCTCGGGCGGGAGCTCATAATCCAGAGGGATAGCGCCAAACCCGGGCACGCAGAGCGGGCCCTCGCCGCTGTTATCAAAGGCGATGATGGTGGGCTCGTTGGTGAGCCTGCCGCCATCATCGGTGGGAGAAGGGGGATCATCTTCCATCTTGGGAGGGTGAAGAAGATCTTCTGTTAACTGAAATAAAATCAGGGGGGTGGCATGGTAAGACGAGGAAAGTGGGGCATGGGTGCCTTATGGCACTTTAGCCCTCTTCCCTGAGCCAGCTGGATTTAGTTAAACTCCCTTGAGAGTAGTGTCAAATTAGCGGACCCGCCGTTCCGCAAGTTAGTGGAGATGTAGTTGGCTAGCATAGCATGCGAAGCAACGACCGGGCCGAAACACCATTCTCTTATCACATCCACCTTTAGGGGTAGTGCGCCCCACTGGTGGGCGTCTCCGGCCAACATGTCACCCGACTGAGAAACAGCCACCTAGGGGATACCATACGCCGACACAATGACCGAAGAGAAAAAAAAACTGCCCCCCCTTCCCCCGTCTATTTTCAGCTTAGGGCGAGAATGTCTTCTGAAATAGCTAGGAAAAGGAAAACATCAGTTTGACACGAGCAAATTCATTCAGTTACAGGTTACAGGGCTAGTATCACTTGAGGCGAGTGAATAGAGAAACTCTATAGGTGAAAAACACCAGCAACCGACACTCCTAGCAGAGCAACTTTTCAGATGTCTCGTGGAGGGCAAGTTGGGAGGTTAATTTGGGGTTGTTCGGCTAGCATTTATATAATAGTGGGTATGGTGGGCATCCCGGGATGGGCATACCTATAGGCCGTGGGCGTTATGGTCGGGCACTCGAAAATCCAAATAGCCCGCCACCTACCGTGGAAGGGCGATAGGCACCTCCTAGGTGCCTATAGACGGGCGATGTCGTAGCCTAATTCGGCTAATAGACTATCGGCGATCGGGGGCATATCAACTTGACCGATAAGATCGGCTTTCTATCCTATCGCCCACTCTCTCTGGCATAAATATATCGAGGCTCATTAGGCAATCTAAGTGGGCTGGTAGCTTGACTTTATAAGGAGTGTTAGTCCGCAGAGTGGGTATACATTAGTTTTGTCTCATTGCATAATGACGCTTTTCCCTGGAGTTGCTCTCATTACTGGTGCCGCGTCCGGTGCGTCTTTCCATTTTGCCACTGCCGGATGCCAGAAAATCGCCGTAGCCGACCGATCAGGTGAAGGGCTGGCGCAAACGCAGGATTTGATCGCTAAGGAGGCCCCAAATGCAGCGGTCGAGGTGATCATGGTCAACGTCGCACAACCCGAGTCAGTAGCAGCCATGACAGCGCGCACCGTGGCCCGCTGGGGGCGTATTGACTACGCTGTCAACGCCGCGGGAATCCAGGGTCCAACGCAACGATCAACAGAGCTCACTCTTGACGATTTTGATGCGATTAACAATGTCAATTCTCGCGGCCTGTGGCTATGTTCACGCGCTGAGCTAGCCCAAATGTCAACGCAGACCCCGTTGCAACCCCATGACGGTCGACCTGGCAACCGTGGTGCTATCGTTCATATTGCCAGCCAGCTGGGCGTTGTATTGCGATCGACTGCACGTGAGTGTTTCCTGGAGGATTGGCTTATCTGACGAGGACTTAATTCTATTTCTTCAGCGGCCTACTGTGCCAGCAAGTCCGCCGTCATGTCGCTCACCCGTAGCGACGCCATTGATGTTTGACTGCCCTCTGTCTGCTGATGCCCTGCCTTTGCTAACCCATCTATGCTGGATTTAGTACTCTAAAGATAATATTCGCATCAATTGCGTATGTCCTGGTCTAGTCGAGTACGCACTTTCTCTGCTGTTCTTTTCTTTTGGTCGGGTCGGCTCGCCATTCAAATTTACACCTCCCTAGGACGCCCATGACCCAAGGCTCAGAGGAGCAACGTGAACTTTTTTCGTCCGCTATCGCCATTGCGCCGATGAACAGGATGGGCCAGCCATCGGAAATTGCTGACGTGTGCCTGTTTATGTGTAGCAGCAAGGCGACCTTTGTGCAGGGTGCCTCCTTATTGGCCGATGGGGGATATACCATAAACTAGATGGGTGCTTCCATTACTTTATGTTGATACAGCGTTTGTCACTTAAGCGGATGGGACCTGCCCTCCCCCCTCCTTGTCTGATCTTCCCGTATCTCTCTTAGCAGCTAGCTTGATGCGACCGATTAGGGTTCTTTTCCTATAATATATGTTGTGGCCTGGCTTCAGGGCAAAAACCGGGTGCCTCATGCGTCTACTGCTCCATAGGTACATAGTCGGGGGGGGCTTTGCTTCCTCTCTAATACAACTCTCTCCCTCCTGCCTTTGATCATACATACTGTAATCACAAAAGATTAGAATGGTGCGATCGGAGAGCGCTATGCCCTAAGTACACTTTGATAGGGCAATGGATAGGTTATGAAGATTAAGATTTGTTAGAAATGGGCTAGATGGGTTATAATAGAACGTATACATTAGTTGTATGACACCATGTATAGCTGCTAGATTTTCCCATATTATTTGCGGTGAGAAAGGCCAGCTCCTCTGGTTGATGTAGGTATTTATTTTTGGGTCGTATCTTAAGATTCCTTTCAGTTGATCTCTAACTGTCTCATTTGATTAACTAGGTTGCTATAGAAAGTGCGGAATCCGATTCAATTTGTTTTCATCGAATGGATGTGTCTTAATCCAATGCCGAGCAATTTCCTCACGAGTAGCGAACCAGACACCCTCGTGGCCTTTTATGTAGTTAACAAGCTTGCGTAGTGCTTGAAAGCGCGCAGGCCGGCCAATCAGCCTGCTGTGAAGACCGATAGTCATCATCTTGGATTCACCGTTGCAGCCCTCTTCGTATAACACATCAAATGTGGCCTTGCAATATTCCAACCAGTCACGGGGATTAGTGAAGCCCGGCGAGGTGGTAAACTTGTTATCATTGACATCGTACGTATATGGAATCATCAGCAGGCCCTTGTGAGGATCCAAGGGGTGCGCTGTCCAGTAGGGCAGCTCATCTGAGTACGAATCGCTTTGATATAGCAACTCGAGCCCCTGCTGGTCAAACACATGGCACACCAATCCTTTGCTAGACACGGACGGGCGACCCATATACCATCCCCGTGGTGGATGGCCAGAGATTTCGCGGATAGCGTCGATATTCTTCTCGATTTGCTCCTTCTCAACTGCAAGCGGCAAGGCATGGTGATCAATCCAGCGATACCCGTGAGAAGAGATCTCATGCCCGCTTTGCACTAGATACCGTGCAGCATCGGGAGACTTCAGGATCGACTGACCTACCGCAAACACCGTCGCCTTGATCTTCTGTTGTTCGAGAAAGTGCGCCACTCGCCAGACGCCAACCCGGGTACCGTACTCGTACTGCGTTTCCATCTGTATGTCGCACTGGCCGGTGCGCACGGGCCGGCCCATGATCTAGTTCCCAGCTGCAGGTCAGCCGCCGTAGACTAGGTTGAGTCGGTATGTTTTATGGCGGTAAGGCTTACCTCTTGGAGGTCCGTTTAGTCCGTACGGGTCATGGTTGCTCCGATTCTATATGATTGCAGCTGGTTTGTAATATACAGGGGGAAAAGAAGGAAAAAAAGTATTTTCTGCAAATTCCACCATTATAAAGACCTGATTGATGATGAGAAATGCATTCAGATATAATATAAATGACGTCATACGATCCTAACCATTCACTAAGAGTAGACTTTGTCATCTGGGAGAACATATATGACTAAAAGGGGAGTATTACACTATTTCAAACTGCGATTATCCTTCCAAAAATTCAAATTAAGGCTCCTGTGATCAAAGTCGCTATCGTGGGAGCAAGTGGCGAAACTGGACAGTCCATTATCAACGGGCTGTTAGGTGCTTCTGACACGAAGTTTGTATGTGACAGTTCTTTTGCCCAGATACACTCATCCTCTGTAGTTGAGATTACCTACATTCAACAGGAGGTCAAGGCCTTCCTCGGCCAGAGTCTTTGAACAAACCTATCAATGCAGAACTCAAAAACCGGGGCGTAGATATCATACCTGTCAACTTGAGCGGCCCTCTGGACAAAATTACAGAGGTTCTCTCAGGTATCGATGTGGTCATCTCTGCTATTTTCTTTGGCAGTCTCGGGGATGAAAGTCCTCTCACAAATGCCACAAAAGCAGCAGGGGTGAAGTGGTTTGTCCAGTCGGCTTTCATGGTTGTTGTGCCCCCGAGAGGCGTTGTGGATTTCTGTGAGGTAATACGCGCTGCGGAGGACTACTTTGATGAAATCCACATGACGTTGCTGATGTCCTTTTTAGAAAGAAGAAAACTTCAACCACATCCAGAAAATACGTCTGCCGTACACGTACGTAGACGTTGGCTGGTGGTATCAAATCACACTTCCTCGTCTTCCTTCGGGACGTCTCGATTATCTCCTCCCTGGTGGCCGTCCTGACCAGCCTATTGGCCTGGATGGAAATGTACCAAGTGTATTGGCAGATATCAGGGATGTTGGACGCTATGTTGCAAAGATCATCGCTGATCCACGAACCCTGAACAAGAAAGTGCATGTATTCAATGAAGTTCACACACGAAATGAGGTATACAACTTTTTAGAGAGTGTAAGCGGAGAAAAGCTCGACCGCCAATACGTCAGTCTACATACTCCCCAAATCATGTTCTCGGTTGAAGAAATTATGTTCGATAAAAATACTAAATTTTTCTTGAGCACAGATATCGGAAGCAGAGGCCAAGGAACGCCTTGAACAGGCGCGTCATGCACTCGAACAAAATCAGAAAGATATTTCGGCATTGGCTATGCTGACGGTTTCTCAGCTATCCTTCTCTTGGGGAATCCGTGGTGATAATACCCCGGAACATGCTGCATATCTGGGTTATCTGAGCGGTAAAGATTTGTATCCGGACTTAAACTTTACGACGCTTAGGGACTATATGTTGGAGGCACCTGGAGGGAAAAGCAAGGGGGTTTATCAAGGAAGATAAATATCGAGGGAAACCAGTCCTTTCCGCGGAAAGTGTATCTTTCATGGCATGGTTACTCGGTTGAACCAAGCCGTAATGAACGGCAGAATATACGATGTCGCTACGGTATAATCGCTTATTGCAAATTGGATTTTGTCGCTTGAATTTCATCTATAGTCTTGGTTTCCTTCCAAGAGCCTTGTTGAAGGCTGTTAACTGTTTCTTTCTTCAAGTTGATGGCCCTTGATCTGATACTCAGCCTGAAGCCTATTAACAGTATGCTGTACAGGTAATCAATTGTGGGCGATCCAAGGCACGGTGACTTTCGAAATCGGATTTACCAATCAATGAATACTGAGTGCTTATTTTCTGGTCATATCATCAAGGTCTTAGGGCAGAGATTATTGAGCAAGCCATATTAAGATGAGGGCCGCAGTATTATGCCGCCATAGAGTATAATGGCGATTGAGATTTATTGTTCAACGGTCAAAGCATAACATTTAATTTCACGTGTCAAGATACACGACAAGGCAGATTTTGTTGACATCGTTTTTTAAATTTCCCAGGTCAGCTGATCAATTGCCAATCAATGCGCCATCCCCTTGTTATCCTTTTCCCCTCCTTCCACATCTCAGTTCCCCATAATTGTGATAGTGCGATTGATTCAAATCTCGGCAATGGGTCAGACAGTAGCCAAAGAGTCTCCCACAGAGTTTCTCCCACCAGTGCAAACCCGCGGTATGACCAATTTAAAATCAAGCCTTACGCGACGGAATTTACTGACAGACGCCAGAAAAACTTCAGGAACAATTCAAATGGCGCCTATCACGATTGTTCTTGAGTAATGTTAAAAGGGAATGGTTTCAGACTATTTTCAACATTTTCTGCACCGAATCAGATTCGGCAAAATGCAAGGCCTAGAGTCTATTCTTACTCAGCTTCACGAGGCTAACATGCTATAGTCTGGACGGTATCGGACTTAAAGGATTTCATGATGAGCACTTTTCCTCTCGGATTGGCCTCATACATAGCCGAAGCAGCTCCGATCATACACCGTTGCCTTCTACGGCTAGGGTCATTTCCATATCAAAATACTCCGCACTGCACCCTGTCGCTAGATGTGCTACGAACAGGAATGATTATTCTGCTTAGGCTGGAAGGAAGCAAGCTGCTAGATAGAGATAACAACGAAGCATCACTTGTTTACCCTGATAGTCTCAGTGCTGAACAACGAATCCTGTTGTTTCAAAGCTTGACAGAGTCGCAAGGGAGCTCCGCCAGATCGGCTCGAAACCTAGGAGACGACTATCACCTTCACAAAGCTCTTGAAGTTATTGTGTATGGGAATTTTAAGCGCAATGTGCAGTTTCCGACCGCTGTGAGCCAAGGACCCCAATATCCCCCTCCGGAACATTTTCCTTCCTCAAACTCTACATTGACAAGCGGATCAATCCCAAACGAAGATTTTAGGCCCCTTCTTCGGCTGATGCTCCTTACTCAGTTGCATGTTGCTGGTCTTGACCCAGACATTTTTACATTCTCCCTATCGGAGATTGAAGCAGCGACGGATTGCCTATTGGCAGCATTCTTACATGACGGATGGTCATCAACCGCTGTATCCTTTACAGCCTTTGACAACATTATTGGCAATTCAATGGTGCGTATTAAAATACGCCATTAACAACAAATAGTTATATACTGACACTAAGCAGCAAAACGCGTTCCTGGGTCTACGTCGAGTTCTCGGGCCTTTGCATTCGGCCAAACCCATTCCATCCCCGACTCTCCCATCATCGGTGACTAAAGCACAGAACGCGTTGAAAAAACTGTTTGCGCCATCAGTCAAGACACAGCCTCCTCCTAAGGGGCGAATCATGAATCTTCCTCTCCTAAGTCAGCTTTCAATGAGCCTACCCCAAGACTTTCCTATCGAAACACCAGAAATCCTTCATTCTTCTCAGAAGGTAAATATCAAGGCTCTAAAGTCTTGCCTGTCCACAACTGGACTAGCCAGGATTCTACTGGTGTCTGGAAAGACTAGTCAAGGGGATGCCATATTAGGCGCATACTTCCCTAAAGATTCCTCGCCTGCCAGTATGAATATGTCGAGCGTGATATTTCAACTGGCACCAGTACATCAAACGTTTCACCAGGCCGAAAAGCTGTTGCCGTCTAAGGGACCCGATGTTGAACACAGCATGCGTTTGACGCTTGCTATTGAGGATATATCTCTCGTGTTGAGCGGTGAGTCGTCAACAGGAACTTTAACTGCGAAATCCAGAGAGCACACCAGCCAAGAGTTGCTTGTTAATGCTGTAGAGGTTCTGAGCTTTCAGGGATGCATGGTCAGCATCGATACTTTTGAATAACCTTTTCTCTCATGCCTTATCACTATACTGATGCTCTACTTTGGATTTAGACAGCAGTGTCATAGATGCATTTATATATCCTCAAAGTTACTACAGCTAGAAAAATTGGAAGCAATTGTAATTCATTTCCCAATCCTTTTGCTTGCTAGGTCTTGACGAAGTAAATATATAAATACGGATAGATGAGATTTCATCCATAATATAGAAAAATGCAGAATCCATCTGCAGGCTCTCATTCTGCTCGACAGATACGTATATTGAAAGTTGCGAGCGATTGGATTATTTGGAGTCGATGGACTTGCCACAGAATGATGCCTATCGTGATTTTGCTAAAACAGACTTAGGGTTTTAGAAATAATCAATGCGAACGGGTGGATGTAAAAAATGCCTCATTTTCAGATCACAACAACTCTCTACCTCGTATATAAATATAAATATATTGATGTTGTTGGTTTCATCCACTCGAAAATCTACCGCCCCCAACATCATCACGGCCCTCTAAATCGCCGACGCCAAGTTGCTGCACGAATCCTCCAACACGACAAAAATAGAAAATTGAAGAGTTGGTTTATCTTCAGACACCGAATTACCATTATGTTAGCCTTGAGAATCAGCAGTTATGGGTAAGTCGAATGTACGTCCAGGCATCTATACACTACGCCTGCGCCAAAATGCTGCTTATATATTCGTTATATTTCCTTTCATAGAGGTAATAATCTATGAGAGGTTGGTTCTATCCACTTTTTTTATATGAATGAGCAAGCTATTACAATAATGGGTATCCTTCCGCTTTTCTCCCGTCTTCCATCCCGGTACTCGGATTCACTTAGCGTCACAAATATAACAGATCGACAGGTCTCTCATCCCTTTGATAGATCTTTATATCTCTACCATAAGTCTAATCAGAAGGGCCCTCGTCAATGGCTTGTGGGCATTAAATCAAAACTCAATCCAATTATTCTGGGAAAGAAAGCAAACCGGAACCGAATTTTTGTAGTGCCGATTCTCGTTATTGTAGTGGGCGGTAACTTTGTCCCGTAAGTGTTCATCCTAAATTTCTCTTAGAGTGTGGTTCTCGCTCGTCCTTGCACTGGTTGATCCCCTCAAACCTTTAGTGTCATCGAACGGACCACAAATAATTTTCCAAAAATGGAAAAGACCGGCAGATTCAGTCGCTGCACTAAGCCCTGGACACAAATAGCACCCAATGGACCAATCAAACACCACGCCTGAATTTAGACAGACGCAGGTACGGTTGCACGATACAGATCCCAGCGTCGATCCACGGGCAGTAGATCAAGGAGGTTCTATTTGTGGCCGGGAGAAGAGATTGGAAGGATTTACAAGGGTCCATCGACGAACCTAGTCTTGACAGACCGTCAGATTACGGAAGGAGCGGATTTCCTTTGCTTGTGAGGTCGTTCGGGGTAGGTTAGAGATTTGGAATATCACACAGACTTTGCAACGAGATCCGATCCGCGGTTTAGTTGCCCTCGCAAGAGAATGATTGGTCCTTCGTCGAATGGCAAGCTGCTGCTGTCTCTATCTGGTCTATAGAACGTTCTAGAAGCTATGTATGTTCTTCAAGAACCTCCCCCAATGAGTTAAATCTCTTCGAACCCGACGCTTCCTCTCCCTGTCTGCTCCGATTCGATCGCCAGCCTGCCAACTCTAGCAGATAGCTTTTTAAAGCTAATGTCAATTTTGGAAGCACAAGATGGTTGGTGGGTCCCCTGTACTGATAGTATTGTCCTGTCACCCTGATACGCACTACTCATACATTATGATTAGACCTATATCTATAATACTGGGTCGTGACCCACAGACCTACTAGAGAATACAACCATCATACACATGCTACAAGAATGGTAGATCTAAACGGATCTCCAGTTTGTGCACTAGAGACCGAGAAACCGATTGAAATTGAAGAGTAATCGTAACCTCTGGAGGTATTACAGCAACTAGTGTAGATATCATTTACACCGGGCTGAATTGTATCGAAACGCAGTACATTCGATCCTGCAGCGGGGCTAATTGGCCCGTGGAATGCGATCGCCCTAACTATAGAAAAATATAAACAGAATGAGCAACATCAACCAGGAAAGTATCGTTTGTTCATTATGCGAATTCATGCGGATCAGTCCTTGCTCATTCCGAAGCATACACGTCAGTACTCTTTGTCAATCTTGCCTTAAACAGTGCATTTCAGAACCGCAACTTGATTCCCAGAAAATGACTCCAGGCCCCCAGCCGCATTCGTACTCAGGCCAATAGCATTGTTACTCAGGCCCCCAATCGGCCTGCTCTGAGAATAATGCGACCGATTGTGGCTACTACTTATATGAAAGACCCTTCTTCCTAAGCTCACGCAAGCTTTACCCTTTTTCAAGCCCCAATGTACGCCCTATAGCGGTTATTCTATGGATTCCTCGAACTAGCTCCGCACAAACGTAGCAAATCCGTTGAGGTGCTTTGCTTAGGCTTACCTCGCACCGGAACCGAGTTATTAAGCGTGGCCTTGCGAATTCTGGGCCTCCCAGCATATCATGGCTGGGACTTGGTCTTCGAGCCAGATGACAGCAAGTTGCAACACTGTACAGAGCTAGTGCGGAGGAAATACAACGGTGCTGGCGATGGCGACGTGAAAACTACCAGCGAGGAGTTCGACATTCTCATCGGTGATAACCAGGCTGTGGTTGACTCCTTGTCCCTTTTTTTGCTCCTGAGCTGCTCGCCGCCTACCCAGACGCCAAGATGATCCTCAATGTGCGTCCCGATATAAACGCTTGGTACCCCAGCATCGAAAAAACCATCGTCCAAGGGGTCGATCAATCATGGACTATGCGGGGGATGCAGTGGTTCTCTGCGGAGTTTCATTGGCTGTACAATCTTTACTTAAGTTATGGATATCCAGGCCTGTTTCACAGTGTGACCACCACAGATGGTATGCAGTGAAACGCCAAGTGGGTCTATCGCGACCACTGCAACAAGGTCCGGGGTATGGTACCTAAGGATAAGTTGCTTGAGTGGTCTGTCGAGCATGGCTGGGAGGCGCTTTGCAAGGTATTATTGGGAGGAATCTGGATTTTTCTCAAAACTATGGCTGATGACAGAGATAGTTTCTCGACAAGCCTGTTCCCGACGAGCCCTTCCCCCGAGCTAATCCTCCAGGAAGTTACACCGAGCGCACAGATGAACTCGTCAAAAGGCACCTCATTTAATGTCTGCACAACTTCACTATAACCGCCGTGGCTCTAGGCGGCATTACCACTGTCATTGTAATTTGGTGGCAGGGACGGATCCCAGAGACTACATGGCTAAGCGATCTCCTTGGATGATTCACTAAAATGACCTAAAATCAATGTATGGAATGGAATTTCAATTATAACGTTAAAGGATGTCAATTTGACCCATACTTTCCAGATCACTTCAGGCAAGTGACTTCACTTCAAGTTGGGCTCGACAAAGAATCTTTATGTGTAGGTGGTAAATCTGATTTCGATTCACCCTGTACAGTATATAGGATAAAAACCTCAAACAAAGGCCGCTGGCCAAAGGTCTCCCAGATAGTATAGACAAGTATCCAAATGTCGGAGGCAAAATAGAGGGGCTTATCAGAGAACCTGGCCTCAGGTGGCTGGAGGATAGGAGGGTTTTATGCGGATTGAAAGATTCTCCAAAGTTGTTAATAATGATCTTCTCCTCCACTAAAATCATATTATCGCTACAAGCGCCAAACCAACCGGGAACGTATACAATAGCTGGTACGCCCTCCGACAATGGATTTCCATCGATACGAATAACAGCCTCTAGATTAGGCTCTCCCAATCTTTCGTATAAGTCTGACGTTGGAAAACGATCAATTCCTTTGGGAAACTCGACTAGAGCGGTGCCTAGACGAAGTTCCGTAGCAGTCAATTATGCAATCCAGCTGCAATTATCTACAATAAAGGACTTGGTGCGCCTTGCCGTCACTATGGGCCGAGCGCGGCAGATGTCGTCGAAGAGCCGAGTTACATGACCCCGGTCCTCGGGCTTTTCCAGTTCGCATGCCGCAATAAACAGAGGCCAGAGTGAGAGCTTGATATCTTGAGGCGATCCGGAAATATGAGCCATGACCTCGTAGGCTATGCTGAGAGCTTTCATATCTGCTTCTGTCGAGCTTACTAGGCAGTGGTAAGTCCCATCAGCCGGTCAGCGTGGCGCATAGAGTGCTTATATAGCCAAACGGAGGGCTCTATTTTGGTGCGCTGCATGCGGGAGAGCGAGATCAGGAGACATTTTCATGTCACAACTCTGACAAAGTATTTCGCCATGTCATTCAGCCCCTTTACCTCACGGGTGTGAAATTACAGAACCATAGATACGTTGTCAATGAGTGCGGAGAGTGTGGTTCCACTGCCGTCAGATCAAGGGTCCACGAGCTGGGTAATCGATTATGGTTGCCTGGTCTTAACATACCTCAACCCTACAAAGCGCAAGTAGCAGCATCAAACCCAGCTCTAGGCTATTTCCGTCCTTGTTAGTCAGCTGTAGGCGACTGAGAAGTTGCATCTTACGATTCGACACTAAGGCATATTCTACAGCATATTTTGACGTAGTTTTCTCCAACCGTAGCTAAAGCTTCACCGACTGTTGTGGGACTCTGCTGCAAAAGTGAAATGATAGCTCTGTTCATCTTGTGAATGAAGAACTCGTTGCTCATAACCATTTCTGAAGGGTGCCTCATAAAGTAGACTTCGATCAAAGGTTTCTCCGCTGCCAGGATCATGCTCAGAGGGATCAGGACGGGTCCTTTCAGGGGAGAGGGCTCTTTGGTAGATGCTTCTAGGATCATTGATCTCATATAATCTGCCGCGCTAATCGGTGTTATCGAACTTACCGTGTCAACAATCCAGGTGTCTATCGCCCTTTCTTCTGTCCACCCTTCATCTTCCATCGGCGTCCGTAAAGAGGGCGTAAAAGCACTAGATACAAAAGCTGCTCGACGTTTCGCTGCGACCGAGCCTGGTGGAGCACCGGAGCCCCTAGGTGATATCATGCTGCGTTCACGTGCATAGGATAACCGACCCTATCCGCTATATTTGCGGTCTCGATAAGCGCAGGTCCCACACGACGGATACACCTCATCGCATTTGACCTTAGCATTCTTGCAGTCGATGCATCCCTTGCGCGACTGGGTCGTCATGGCCCATGAGTATGGGAGAAGAAGATAGCGTGCGAAGCAACCCCGCTTTATGCTATCAGATAGCCTCCGGAATATCCGTACTTTAGGACACGCCAATATGACTACGCTACCCCATAAAACTCGATAAGAAGCTGTGATACGACATGGAGGAAACTACAATACGCACTGTTTAATCCAACCAGAGCTCTTCATCCCTTGCTATTTCCAAACGTCCTTGGAGTGGTCCATTTTAGGGGGATAGATATGGAGCCAGCAACCCTTCGGAGGCATATTCAACGCGGGACCTATAACTTTGAGTCTGCAAAGGCTGTCTTTGACGACTGTTTTATGGCCTATGTATCTTACGTCGACTATGGTCTACCACAGTGCCTGCCCATGATTCCGTTGATCAAGAAGGAAGAAGACGAGGAAGATGAAGTTGACAAAAGCTTCTTAGGTGACTAAGATCCTACAAATGAAGTTAAAGAGAAGAATATTAAAAAATGTCGTCTACCTATATGGACATCCCAGTACTAGGATTATAGAGTTAGTTAGAGATGCTAGCCGAGAGACCCACAATATAGGCCACAACGCCGAAGAGACTCAGTCAAGGGCATTGGATCCGGTCAAGGTTTGCATCATGGCTACAAAAGGTAGTGTACTTTCAAGCCCCATCGTTGATTTTTGCTGATATTTCCAAGTCGATGGTCTTGTGCTTTCTTCAGTCCCAAACGGCCATACATTCAACTAGCACTCAGCGGTGATACACGGAACATGCACACCTATCAAGAGCAAAGCCGTCAAGCGCAGTCATACACGCCGCCACTAACTATATTGTTGCCAATCGATGGGAGGAGGTAAACCCTATAGCGTCATGCCAGGTCAGCTTGGTCTATGTGATCAAGGTGAAAGTCGACAGTTTATCCGTTAAGACGCGCACAGGACCGCCCGGGATACATCCAAGGAACATGGAGGTCGATAGGCCGGACAACGAAACCCCACCGTGGGTAGGCGTTATCCCGATGTGGGAACAACTGGGGGAACCGGTAGACAGCGGCTTGACTCCTAGGGCGAAGGTGTCCGACAACTTGAGAGGATATATTGACGGGAGAAATCAAAGACAGCAAGCTTATTCGAAATATGTAGCAAATTAATATACATTCAATTTCGGTTGTGCTCGCGGCTTTCCCGCTCTTAATAACAAGTTCACCACTACTACGCCCAAGTTTCAACTCTGATGACATATTTAAACAACTTCAAACCAATAAATTAAACCCCCGTTGTAACGAACTTGGATATAACGAATACCTAGATTTAACGAAATAAAACCGGTGCTTCATTTGATCCACCATACTAATAACGAATTTTTCTCGTTACTACGAATTTCGGTATTTCGTCATTTCTCCCATACAAAATTTGTTCCAAGGAGGTTTGTTACGTTATTTTGCCTCAATATTAACCAATTAAATGCCTCGCTAGACAGTCACGTGGCACTTGACCAAATTCAGCCAATGAAGATGCCTCGCCGATCGATCTTAACTATCCATGAATGTACCTGCCTCAAAATTAGCTCTATAAAAGTAGTTAGTTACGAAAGGTTAGTAAAGGTAAGGAAATCAAGGATATAGAAGCGGAATTATATTAGGAACCTTTTTAAGGTATACAATGGTGGTTAAACCCTAAATACAACATAATATATTTAATATATATAGCACCTGGATTTTACGAATACCTGGATTTAATGAATTTTTCACCCTGTGTCAATTGATTCGTTATAACGGGGGTTTACTGTGATATATACTCTTTACATTTACTTACTATCACTTAAGATATTAACTAATTTTATTAGTAATAGCTTATAATTATATATCGATATTGAAACCCTAGTAATAATTGATTGCATTATTCAGAGCATATCAAATGCTGAGGACAGAGAGTAGCAGAGGACCTGACCCAAATAAAGCCTGGATTACGCACTTTGGCTCTTGTGGATGAAGCAGCTGCGTCTGAATACTTGAAGTAGACAGCTGAGATACATCAATAGATGCAAAAGCGCGGTGGATATCCTCCTTAATGTCCTCAATATGTTCAATACCAATGGACAGATGCATGTGGTCCTCTGTGACTCCCGTATCAAATCTATGTGCATCAGTGAGCTGCTGGTGAGTAGTGGTCCAAGGATGCATAAGCGATATCCTCGAGTCTCCAAGGCTAGAAATAAAGATCATGTCCATTTGAGATCAAAATAGAGAACAACCTTCGTAATGTTGATGATCATTTGAAACCATTCACATAATTTGAATTCCGCCTCCTTGCCGCCTTCAATGTCAAATGATAAAACTGCTCCATATCCCTGTTCAAGATATTTATCGGCATTCAGGTGGCACGTGCGATATTTATCCCCTGTACAACCATGGCACCTAAAAACTTTTAAGTAGTGTATTATAACCAGCACTCAGGCTCGGTCGTCCACCCCCTATTGGAGAGCCAACATAGCCAGACTCGTTTATAAGTTAAGTGAATACTATTTTTCTACGTAATTCAGATGTAAACGTTCGTTCGGACTATACAACTAGGCTCTACGAACTATCAGGATCGCTCAACTCGATTTGGTATATAGATATAACCCCGTCATTTCGACTATATCGTACTAGTTCACTCACTTCCGCTCCAACCCGACACAAGCTTTCATGAATATGATCTATAACTGGAGAAGCGCAAGTGCAGCACCGAGTAGAGCCACCGCTCCCTTGGGGGCACTAAACTGAGGCAACGCAGCGCCAGTCGACTGCAGAGCGGACGCGGAGGCACTGGTGGATGAAGCGTCGGCAGAGGTGAAAGAAGTTGTCGTGGAAGAAGAGGTAGAAGAGGAGGTGGTGGTCGTGTCTGCGATGAAAAAAAGGTATGTTAGTATAATCGCTTTGTAACATTGTGCGGAGTTGCGTCATGCCTGAAGACAAAGCACTAGTCGATGACGGAGTTGAAGATGCCGAGGACGTCAGGGTGGTGGTGACGGATGCAGAAGTTATCGCACCAGATGTCGTGGAAGAAGTGGAGGAGGAAGAAGTGGTGGTGATGGAAGATGTGGAAGAAGAGGAAGAGGTGGAAGAAGACGAGGACGTGGTACCATCATCCGAAGCGCCCTTCTTGACAGTAAAAATGTTACTGACGGCGAGCTGACCCGCAGAATCAATTATCTGGATCTCGTAGTCATCTCTAAAGCATGACAGAATGGTATTAGCTCTGTTCTTCTCTATTCACCCACTCTATCTTCTACATACCCGTTAGAAATGCTAGGGTTAGGCTGGGTCGTGTATTCGCCGGCAGAGGTCTTGACGTTATCGGCTAATTTGGTCTGGAAGGAGCCATCCTGACTTCGGAGGATGATACTGATTACTGAAGGATCACTGGAATCGCTAGTGAATTTGATAGTTTTGGCAGTAGAGAAATCCCACACCGTGTCTGATGACGGGGTGGTGACGGTGATGGCAAAGGCCGATGAGAGGAGGCTCAGGGCGGTGATGGTGAATGAGTAGCGCATTTTGATTGAATGGAATTACTGAATAATTGGAGAGGGAGTTGGGGGATATCCCAATGTTTCCTAGGAAAAGATTATATATTTTTGGTTGGTAGACCGAGAATTATATTGTTAAACGATCTACATATGTATATACAGAGACCAGTAACTTCCAGCTGAAGCCGAGCGCATTGAGAATACGAGATATTGGAAGCCTTGCATAGAAGCATAATGTGATCTCCAGCATGAGCTGAGCCTCTTGTGGAGAGGCTGGAAAAAATTCAATGGTCATTCTAGTGCCCACGTAAGGTAACAACGAATAGGCACTGCCCGGGTGTTCCAAGGTTAGAATCAGCTGTCTCAGTGACCCGCCCTGTTGTGTTGGGTTCATAAAAGTGATCATTGCACCTTATCTTTCCAATCAAGTGTCCAAAACAGATTGTGTGCTGTAGTTCTTGCTAATAAAAGGTTCAACCTGCAAGTAAGGGCTACTATCATGTCAGCGCTAGGTGCACATGGTGACCTTTGGTGCTTGCCAATAAAAGATTAAACTTCCAACTAAGAGCTACTATCATGTCAGCGCTAGGTTAGCGTTTTAAGAAGTGCAGTAAATACTCCGTACCGGGTTCACCGACCGGGCTGGAATCGGGGTTATCATAAATTAGACATCTGTTTTCGTTGTATTGTATCGTAACTTACAACAGAGAAAGATTACGGGCCATGACTGGTAACATTCAACAGATAAGCTACATATGTACATGTAGGTCTGCATGTCGTCTTACTGTGTTCCAATGTTGTGCCCAATAGGTAAAAGCGATTGTCGGGATTCTTGCCCAAGTATGGAATCTCTAGTTGCTCAACGTGTCTCCTAATTTTCCGTGGTACTTCGCCAGATGCAATATGAAAGCAATAAAATTAAATATATGGAGTATCTCGTCTATAGTAAAACCCCTGCACAAGCCGTCCAGAAAAAAAAAAGGTTAAAACAAAAACAAAAAACTGTTACGCAGTACATGAGACATCATCGAAACAGAAGGAATGGCGGTCTAGAGAATTAGATGAAAACGTAGGACGTGGTCAACGCAGCCGTGAGTATCAATGTCCTCATCTCCCACGCCAAACCGAATACTGAAATACCAGCGCCGGTGGAGGTCTTTGGACTTGCCGAAGAGGCTGTCGATGTTTGGTTGTGATTTGGACAAATACTGGTGCTTCGGTTTAAGCTTTCTGTAGGATAGTACACTCGGGGTCCTCCATCCGAGCCGAGGTCGACATCAAGATTTCCGCTTGAATCAGTCACGAATGTTTTGCAAGACAAGAGCTCAGTAACATTTTGGCCGGAGGAAAATCCTGTGCCGTCAGAGCCAAGGGTGATCTTGGCGGTGGAGTTGGTGGCTGGCTTGGCTCCTAGGTTGGACACGACGCTCACAACTTGGTTACCAGTAAATCCCTTACGCATGGCCAAAATATTTGTTGAGTTGTAGATTGGCAATGATAGGTACGATAAATAATCGCTACCTGACTTCGGGGCGATTGTGGACTTTTTTCCGTCGCCGCTCGCATACGATCGAATGCGGTTCAATGATTGGACTAGCAAAGGCAGGGACGTCGAGTTCATCGAGTACTTGGTAAGCCACAGGGCCTCCCGATTGACAGGGTTGAATGCACCTGACAGGTGTTGTTCTTCACCATAGTAGACTGTATTATTCTTATTAGTATATTTGGGGTTCGTTTCGATTTGAGTAGGCGGCAACATACGGATGGGGATACCGTCAGCGAGCATGCTGATCGTGAGAATGTTGCGAGCCAGCTAATCAGGAGTGACAAAGTCAATACATGCTGACAAAACTCTGGACGCACTCGACTTACCGATATGTCTGACGTATACGAGCCAAAGCGAGGAACGTCCTGATTCGATGTGAAAGTTCCCAGGGGCAGTACATCCTCACAATTTGTCCTGACGTAGTCGATAGACTCTATGATCCTGTTCAAGTCTCCGTCGGTCGTGTTAAAGGCCTCCGAGATGATATAGTACCTAAGGGTGTCAACATGCCCTCTGTTCATTTAGACGAGTTACTCACAACGGATAATTCAAAAGTCCGCTTAGACTGGGCTGTAGAGAACAGTAACCAGCTGCGTCTCTTGTGGCACCTTCCCCCATAGTGAAAACACCCGCTGACTTGCTGAAATTGGAGAAGAAGGCGGGGGCAATATTTAAGACACTGTCGATTCGCAAGCCATCAACTACGAAGGATAACGGTTAATAATTCCGTCGGATAGAGAGGGAACGTATATACATACTGGAGTAGTTTGAAACCAACTGCGAAACCCAGGTTCCCAGAATCTGCTGGACTTCCTGGTCCTCATTTCGCAGATCTGGAAGCGATATGGTGTTGTCACCCATCCAGCACTGATGAATACTTAGCAATGCTCTCGTAACACGCGGTGGCAGACTTACATCCAAGACACATGTGTCATTCGAAGGGTCCTCAGAAAGTAGCTTGTAGTCGTGGAAATACTTCTGGTCATTGAATGGATTGAACGTGCTGTAGTCGACGGTAGAGGCATTTCCGGCCCAGGCCATGTCACCGACGACGATGTCCAGCATCAAGTACTATTTTTCACGTCAGTTTCGTTAGTAGACATGGCAGCGGGCGACTCACCATGCCACGGTCATGCAACGCGGTAGATAATGCTTGGAGGTCATCGGAAGTACCAAAATGAGAGTTGATAGAATACAGGTCGTTTGGCCAGTACCCATGGTATGCTATCATCCATCAATCGTTAGTTCTCTATATCCGCTGACAGTAGGGATGACTATACCTGCGAGATCCACCGTGCGAGTTGACTCCTGGCTTTGCACCGGAGAGATCCAAACTGCATCGAAGCCGAGTTCCTGAATATAATCCAGCTTATTGATGATGCCCTGGAAACTCCCTCCACAATAATCTCCCAGTCCTGCATCACAAGAGGCGGTGGTTGAGTTATCGGATCGAGCAAAGCGATCGGTAACCACTTGGTAGACTGAGCGACCGAGCCATTGGTCTCGAGAAGCCGCCTGTACTGTCCCAATGGCAGCAACCACCAAAACATTCCACCACCACATTGTCGGTGGCGTTTGCATGACAGGTGGAAGGAGAATCAAATGACGATGGAATGAGAGACAATGAAAAGGTTACTCAAATTAAAAATTTGAATTTGACAACATGTGAATGTCATATACATATGTACCTATGTTGTAGGTACGGAGTACGAAGTACACAAACTACTAGATCAAAATGATGTACAGTAAGGTACAGTGGGTATTGTATTGTATGTGTAATACATCCCTCCATATACAGTGGCGTTGCATGAGTATTTGCACCCCAGTACCTCGGAAGGCTTAGGCCCCACTTATTTTCTGCCGTTTAAAACTTCTCATTTAGAAACACCTAACTAACTAGCTAGTAACTAGTATGCCAACCTTCGTATTTAATAACCTCTTCCACCCGGTGCGGCATAGTCTCTGCTAAATTTACAAAGTGGTGCACTGTCAGATTCTCCCATGCATACTGCGCTGCATCTACTAGCTCGGCCCAGGTCTCCTGATTATTAGGCATCTCTCGTAACCAAGGCCTTAGCCTTAAGATATCTGCCTTTAATAACGCCCAGAGGTTCTCAATCGGGTTTAAATCAGGTGAATAAGGAGGCCAATCCATAACATTTACACCTATCTCGCGTAGTAGTTCTTGAACTATATACGCAGTGTGTGTAGGTGCGTTATCATGTTGGAAGATAGCATCTTCATTTGCAAGTAAGGTAGGAAGGATACCACGGTAGAGACTATAAATAACCTCTTTTGTAATACCCTTCCGCTCTGCATTTGGATCTCCGTATAGAGGAATAAGGCCAGTTTTCCGTGGAGCACCTGAGAAACAGGCCCAAAACATCTGTTTTGACTGCTTCCCTTTCGAGAGTGTCATTTGAATACCGGAATTCCGATTTTGAAGCTGATCTTTAGGAGGAATAAAAGTCCACTCCTTCCGAGCACCTTGTCCACGTTCAACTGTAGTCTCATCCGACCAAAAGACCCTTTTCCAGTCCTCAGGTGTAAAGTGGCGATAGGTAAGGGCCCAATTAAGACGTTTTGCAGCGTGAATAGGCGTAAGATAGGGTCGATTCATCTTCCGCCATTTTCGAAGGCCCATTTCGTGGGTTAAACGCCAGATTGAGTGCGCTTTAACCTTATAATCGACCTCAGCAAGTAGATCCTCACGCGTAATATCAGGACGGGACTGAATAGCATCATACACACGATCTCGGTCCTCTTCAGTAAGCTTCCTTGGACCACCAAGGCGAGGCATTGAGATACCATGGGAGCGCTTTGTTTCCTGGCGTAAGGTGTAATGAATAGTTGAAAGAGGGATATGAGGGTACGCGTGCTTTTGAATACGTTTAGCACCCCATTTTGCTGAGCGTTTTAGCTCACATATACGCTCGCGAACGTGCGGTGGAAGCTCTGGGCCACGGGCCATAGTAGTAGAGTATAGAGAAAGAGTTAGAAAGGTAAAAAAAAATAGGAAGAAGAGGGGGTAATAGCCTGTATAATACTAGTATACTGCGCGCTGCGCGTAGTCGCGTAGTATACTAGTAGGAATAGGTAGGCGGTATAGAATAGCGGTGAAGTGACGGAAGTACTGGGGTGCAAATACTCATGCAACATGACTGTACATGGATATGATCTGTTCCTGGTGTTTCCGGTAATGTAATCTGTCGGCCCGATCGGCAGGCTTTGCTGATCCTGACAATCCTGACAATCCCGCGCATCTGAGCCAACTCATCCCAACCGAGCGCACAGACCTCGGGATGGCTTCCGACACAGCAGACAGGGGGCCTGATGGTTAACGATTGTCCTTCTAAGGTTTATTTGATGGGCTAGCCTCTGAGTACGGAGTAGAAGAGCCGCATTGTTGGCTGCAATCTAGCCCGATTTTGCAAAAAAATCTGTTGGGAATTTCCCGTTCCCCTATACTCTCTCCTTTCCCTGTCGTTCCGCGAGATTTATTGATCGGGTCCACATGGATGATCTCAACCTGATCGCTGGGATTTGTTTTTCTATTTGGGTCTGGAAACCATCAGTGGGGTCAGGTAAGGAGAAGCGCTCCCGCTCACCATTTAAAGCTTTTGGCCCTTAATTTATTAGTAGGTTCAGCCAAGCCAAATCAACCAAGTCGATAAATTGCCGACTATCAATTTCGCCATACCGTACATCCCTAGCAGCAAGGACGGAGTGACCGTGAACAAAACTCAAAAAAAAAAGAAATACGAGACAGGAACGAGACGCAACAAGCCACAGCCTTATCATATCATATCATACATACATATTGTATCCACCTCTCACCCTTTCTCATAGGTCAGTCTTCCTGTGTCGGGTATGACGTGTTCTATCTTGTATCAAGCGGGATACCCGACTTAGAATTATTTACACTTTTGCGATCAATGATTCACTTTGGGCAGCACTAGTCCTGAAAACTCGTATATGGAATGGAGTAGCTTGGCAGCAAACACGTATGAATGGTTCTCCACCATATAAGCTATCGAACAATGACCCACTTCGTATACTCGGTCAGCCGTGTACAGAGTAGACAACAACACTTCGAAGGTGCTACACCGATGCATGTCAGATCGTCTCCATTTCTATGAGACATGATCTGTCAGGCTTGGGTCTAGAACCTGACATATGCCAAGTCCTACCATATAGGGCGTATGTAAGCGTGAGATCGATCGTCCAAAATTAGGACCGCTCACCCGCTTAGCGTAAATATTGATATGCTTTTGCTGTGGGTTGAGGCTGTACAGCAAAGCTGGCTCGGATCTCCAGCCGTTCGCTTGATTCATGTGTCTATGCAGGTTTACAAAACAGTGATTGGTTTCTCGCGCTCTGAATCAATTATTGCATTAGCCTGGCCGGCTCACGTATTCATTATTATCTTTCACATGATTCTCCTGCGTATCTGCACCCTATGAATCGTTCAGCATCTCTGCTTCTATGAGTTATACCTTTCTTCCTGGTATGCACCCTGTCGTTGTTCTTTTGCAGTCGAGGCTTGAACAACGTGTTCTGTGAATGTCACCATAGTGGCATTCACTATCCGGAATGGAGTTACTCACTTCCATCACTCATTACCTTGTCGTTGGTGCAATATTCATACGTATTGCAAAATCCCTGCCATATCTTCCGGAGGAAGTGGACTGGAATCTCAATCAAAACCAGACTGCGACACACCCCCTCGACTACTCGGGTCGGTGGGATGGCCACACATACAACCCCTCGCCAGAGAACTGGCGATTCCCCTTTTACACGATCTTCCTCGACAGGTTCGTAAATGGCGATCCGAGTAACGATAATGCAAATGGCACACAGTGGGAACACATCCTGACCTCCAATGAGTTCCGCCATGGAGGCGACGTTCTTGGGTTGGTTGACACTTTTGATTATCTTCAGGGGATGGGAATCAAGGTGCGTCTAGTGCTTTAGGAGGTAGACTGGTTGAGAAAAATATATTAACCATACTCAGGGCGTCTATCTCGCCGGAACACCATATATCAACTTCCCCTGGGCAGCAGATGGATACTCCCCGCTTGACCTGACCCTGCTAGACCATCACTTTGGTACAATCGAGGACTGGCGCACAATGATATCCGAGGCGCATCGGCGGGGGATTTACGTTCTTTTTGATAATACATTTGCAACGTATGTTATGTCCATACGTGCCACCTGCGATGTCGTCTGCTGATTGTGGTTAGAATGGGGGATCTTGTTGGTTTCCAGGGTTTCTTGAACAAGTCCGCGCCGATGAATCCGAACGAGTACGACTATGTATGGAAATACGACCGTCGATACTGGGACTTCCAGCCTGGAAATGAAGTTGAGAGTGAATGTCCCTGGGAGTATCCTCGGTTCTGGGATGATGATGGGACCGGTTTGACCACTACAACACTTGGTCCTTCATGTCGGAATAGTGAATTTGATCAGGTAACATTTCCTGCCTTTCGAAATTAAGCATGACTGACCTCGACAGTATGGAGAAATTGCCGCCTTCGGAAACTACACTGAGTGGGAAGGGCAGATCTCGAAATTCGCATTTGTGCAGGATCGTCTACGCGGATGGCGACCGGACGTGCTAGCCAAGATAAAACACTTTTCGTGCCTAGCCATCGCCATGCTTGATATCGATGGAGTCCGCGTTGATAAGGCTCTACAAGTCACGCTTGACTCTCTTGGAGAATGGTCCGAATATATGCGGGATTGCGCGAGGGAGGTGGGAAAGGACAATTTCTACATCCCCGGAGAGATTGTGGCAGGAAACTCTTTTGGCTCGCTTTATATCGGTCGCGGTCACCAGACGAATCAGACCATCTCCAATTTGACGGAAGCTTTTATGATGACAAATAAGACAGACAAGTCAGATGAGGATCTCTTCTTGAGACCTGCGGAGAGGTCCGCGTTGGACGGGGCGGCCTTCCACTACACGTTGTATCGTGCTCTGAGTCGGTTTCTGGGGTTAGTTTCTCCCCCTGCATCATTTTGTGTTTACCCAAGCTAACATCGTGCCATTCAGTCTAGACGGCATCTACACTGCCGAAGGTGACCCGCCAGTCAACTTTGTGGAGACTTGGAATGGTCTTGTGGAGACCAACGATATGGTCAACACAAACACCGGTAAATTTGACCCTCGTCACCTGTTTGGTGTCACGAACCAGGACGTTTTCAGGTGGCCAGGGATCAAAAACGGCACCCAAAAGCAGAATCTGGGTCTGTACGTCGCTTCGTTGCTCATGCCTGGGATTCCCATCCTCTCCTGGGGCGAGGAACAGGATTTCTACGTACTGGACAACCAGGCTGATAACTATGTCTTCGGTCGCGGACCAATGTCATCTGCTCAGGCATGGCAGCTGCACGGATGCTACAAGCTGGGGTCATCGAAATACGTCGATTTCCCGCTCGATCGCTCCCTGACCGGATGTGCGGATGATTCCGTCAGTCTCGATCACCGGGATCCCTCTCACCCAGTCCGAGGTCTCATTAAGATGATGTTTGAGATGCGTCAAAACTATCCTACTCTCAATGATGGCTGGTACCTGCAACAATTGTCTAACCAGACCTTCGACATCTACCTTCCAGGCAGTGATGGCACACCGACCGAGACTGGCATTTGGAGTGTCATGAGATCGCGCTTTGCGGATGCGCAAAATTTCGATGGCCAAGGCCAAGGAAATCAGAGCGTCTGGATGGTGTATTCTAATAATAACAAAACAGTTGAACACCAATTCAACTGCAGCAGTAAAGAAGCTCTGATCTCGCCATTTCCCACGGGAACAACAGTCAAAAATCTGTTCCCACCGTTCGAAGAATTCACGCTGGCTAATAGCTCGACTATTCTTGGGTATGATTTCTATTATAAAATTGGTTCCTCTTACTGACAATGAGTAGGTTCGATGGATCTGACGTTCCTAACGGCTGTTATCCAAACCTTACCATGCCGGCCTGGGGATTCAAAGCTTTTGTTCCGAAAGGCAAATTTGTACAGCCTTCACCATACATAACACGCTTCTCTCCCGGACATGACGCCCGACTCGTGCCCCAGGGAACAAGCGGGGAGACGGTGCGAATTGGCTTCGAATTCTCCCAAGAAATGGATTGCGGGGATATCACCAACTCGCTGACGATCACATCTAAAGCGCTTGACGACAAGAGCCCGCAGCTTGACACGACATCGGTATCCTGTAAATCAATTGAAGAGACTGATGTTGTCACATGGCCGGGAGCACTCACTAGCGTTTTCAGCTATGAGATAGATTTGGGCAATGTCTTTCCGGGGGTTCACAGAGTGACACTTAGCAATGTGACCACAGCTGATGGAAATCGATCCACCGGGGTGAGTAAATTCTTCATTATACAAGTGGAGAAAGTCAAGATACTAATTGAATTGAGCAGTCGGTCGACCACTTTCTTTTCCGTATCGGAGAGATTAACAACCCGATAGTGTGGCCGCAGTTGGCCAACTACAGTAGAACACTACTGTTCGACGACCCGTCGTCTGTGACCGAGCCTCTATCAGTAATGCCACAGGCTCCTGGTGCAGACATGTGGCGATACTCGCTGGACTTTGGAGCTACATTCAGTGCCTGGATGACATATACCGGCTTCAACACATCGATCCCCGGCAAGAACTGGACCGGCACTGCGAAGCAGGCCTGGGATGGAGAACACATCCTTGCCCAATACTGGAGCAAGTTGACTGGAAGTAGTGCTCACTGGCAACATGGAGACACGCAATGGGCATACAAGCCCCCGCGTCGATTCCCAAACCTTTTCATCGAAGGCGAGTTCAACCAATTTGGATATGACGCTGGCTATTCCAACCAAATGGCGCTCAGCAATGTCACTGGTCTGTGGGAAATTCACTTCATGGGCGAATGGCCCGTGCAGGTTGCATTCAACGCCTGGGGATTAAATAAAGATGGCCTGCCCGATCAAACCCAGGTATTTGGAGACATCGATGGAGATAATGTCCTGGATCAGGTCCCCCAGTCACCCTGCTGAGCAATGTCTTCAACGTCACCATCCCACCCCCTTCGCCTTATCTTTCCTTCAAGCTGTCCGTCGGTGACAGTAATCTCAAGGTCTACGCTACACCGACAGGGTCCAGGTGGGTTCAGCTGGCCATCTTTATCGTTCTAGCGATTGTGCCTGTCGCCACCGCTGTGGGTGCGGTTTTTATTTACCTGAAGGCCTTTTACCAGGTCAAGTTCAACCAAATAGGTGTCACCGAGAAAAGATCAAGCTTTGCTCCACTCGTGGGCGTCTTTCAAAAGGTGGCTCATCGGTCTAATGACAGGGAGCCCAATCCCGGACTTGCTCTCACCGATGTGGGCCCATTCTCAACTGAAAGTGCAGGCGTCGTCGGTGCCACGGTAAACACTCCCCGACGAACGGTGCTCATTGCAACCATGGAATACGACATTGAGGATTGGGGTATCAAGATCAAGATCGGTGGTCTTGGTGTAATGGCCCAGCTGATGGGGAAAAACCTGACCCAGCAGGACCTCATATGGGTAGTCCCTTGTGTCGGAGGAGTTGACTACCCTAAGGACGAGCCCGGTGAGCCGATGGTTATCACCGTTCTTGGAAATAACTACCAAGTGGATGTTCAGTATCATCGGCTGCAAAACATCACGTACGTCTTGTTGGACGCTCCTGTGTTCCGGGCTCAGTCTAAATCAGAGCCGTACCCTGCCCGTATGGATGACCTGGATTCAGCTATATTCTATTCTACTTGGAATCAATGTATCGCTGAAGCTGTCAGGAGATTTCCGGCTATCGACCTCTATCATATCAATGATTACCATGGCGCCGCTGCGCCCCTCTATCTTCTACCTCGCACGATTCCATGCTGTCTGTCTTTACACAATGCTGAATTCCAAGGACTCTGGCCAATGCAAACCCCACACCAAAGTCAAGAGGTTTGCAGTGTCTATAACCTTGACCATGCATTGGTGAAGAAGTATGTACAATTCGGTGAGGTTTTTAACCTTCTTCATGCAGCTGCCAGCTATCTGAAAATCCACCAGAACGGATTTGGCGCTGTTGGTGTCTCCAAGAAGTATGGCAAGAGATCGTATGCCAGATATCCTATTTTCTGGGGCCTTAAGAATATTGGAGCGCTGCCCAATCCTGATCCATCTGACATTGCCGACTTGGATCACACCGTAAACAGCAATCTCCAAGAAGTGATCATCGACGCAGAGTTTGAAGCTAGTCGTGCCACGCTCAAGAAACAAGCGCAAGAATGGGCGGGGCTCAAAGTTGACCCGGAGGCCCAACTGTTTGTTTTTGTCGGTCGTTGGTCGATGCAAAAGGGCATTGATCTGATTGCAGACATCTTCCCGTCCATTCTAGACGCTCACCCGAAGGTCCAGTTGATATGCATTGGTCCAGTCATCGATCTCTATGGAAGGTTTGCCGCATTGAAACTGAATCGACTCACAGAACTTTACGCTGGGCGTGTTTATTCTAAGCCTGAGTTCACTGCACTACCACCCTTCATTTTTAGTGGCGCTGAATTTGCGTTAATCCCTTCGCGTGATGAACCGTTCGGCCTGGTGGCTGTGGAATTCGGGCGGAAAGGAGCGTTGGGTGTGGGATCACGGTAAGTCTAACCTAACTTATACCTAGCACCTATGCTCACGTATATTTTCTTAGTGTTGGTGGCCTTGGGCAGATGCCAGGATGGTGGTACACAATGTGAGTTTCCTTCTCTCGCCATATGTTCACACTAACCCATTCTAGTGAATCTATGACAACAAAACATCTCATCCAACAGTTCAAGATGGCCATCAATGACGCACTGAAATCGTCTCAAGAGACACGAGCACTCATGCGTGCACGATCCGGCAAGCAGCGCTTCCCCGTAGCACAGTGGGTTGAGGATCTGGAAATCTTACAAACTACCTCAATCGAAAAACACGCAAAGTACTCCAAACGCCACGATCGCAATTCATGGAGGATTTCCCGTGGCAGCACTCTGGTCCCAGAAAATATTCGCACAGTCTCGTCTAGCTCAAACAACAGCCGCGAACATAGCCGATCACGCAGCTCCACCGGATCTGTCCCGCCGAGCAGCCCCATTACGGCTGATATTAGGCCGCCTGGACCTCGACCAGGCCATGACCACGTCTTCTCGCCGACAAATCTGTCTTTTAGCCTTAACATGTCTGATAATGAAGCCGATCCTGACACCGACCCAAGAAACAGACCCTTACCCGCCAACCCTCTGGCAGACTCGCGAATCGTTTACTCCACAGTGAGCGATGGAGAAGATCTGGAGCCTATATCTGGGGGCATCCAAGAAGACGGAACTCTTCGTCTATCGCCATTTGGGACCCCTAGTGCCTATTTTGCTCGATCCGGTGCCAGTACACCAGTTCCCAGTGCGGGATCAGAAGATGGTCTCATGGGTCGAAGAGATGCAAGGGCGTCCATGATGAGTCTGGTCAGTGTCGATGATATAACAAAGGAGAAACAGCCCTACAACCTCCAGAAAGTTGATCCATTTTTCACGGACGCGAATAACGAGTATGCGGATAAGTTTGAGAAAAGGCTTGCGGACTTGAATGGCAAGAACTCCGAAGACCAGCTCTGCATCGAGGAGTTTCTCGAGAAGAGTGAAAAAGACTGGTTCAATCGATACCGCGATGTCAAACTGGGCAAGTCCCCCTTGCCGTCTCCCGCTCCATCTGTCTTTCGCTTCAAGGTTCATGAAACTAGTCGATCGGAGACCCCGCCAATTACTGGTCCAGGTGCAGGTCCAAATGCCGGGCAGTTCCTTCTCCCAGATGACTATGTCGCCCCCACTGGGTTGAAACGTTTCATGTTGATGAAGCTGGGTGATTGGCCTGTGTACTCGATCTTCCTCGCTATTGTGAGCTGGAACCCTAACAAAAACATTCATTGCACTTGCTAACAACATTCTGTTAGGGCCAAATTCTCGCTTTGAATTCGTACCAGATCACACTACTTAATGGTGAAGTTGGACAGACGGCCGAAAAGCTATACATTCTGGCATCCATCTATCTTGCCTCTTCAATCATATGGTGGATGGTCTTCCGGCTAGTCCCCTCAGTCTATGTGCTGACGATTCCTTTCCTTGTACGTTCAAGTTCCTACATCTAACTTACGAGGTTGCAAACTAACTACCCGCAGATATACGGGTTTGCCTTTCTGTTTGTCGGCCTTGCCGGTCCCATCCACAACAGCACAAGTCAGACATGGCTACAAAATGTGGGAACTGGCTTGTATTCTTTTGCATCTTCGAGTGGCTCGATTTTCTTTGCCCTCAACTTTGGAGATGAAGGTACGCAGCCACCCTTTAGGGAATTATAGAACATATCTGACTTTCTTTCTCAGGTGGAGCACCTCTGAGGTCTTGGATTTATAGAGCCACCGTCATCCAAGGCACTCAGCAGCTGTTCATTAGTTTCCTCTGGTACTGGGGTAGCTGGATGGCAACTCTCAATCAAAAGGGTAGCACGCAATTCAGCCTTGCGATGACCGATCCAGGCGCTTTGCTCGGGATCGGACTCGGACTCGCCTGTCTTCTGTGGCTGTTGGGAGCCCTGGTCTTCTTTGGACTTCCTGCATATTATAGGCAAGCGCCAGGTCAAGTGCCGACATTCTACTTATCGCTCTTCCGCCGTCGCATCATTCTTGTACGTCTCTTCCAACCCTCCCTCAAAGTGATTTTAATTCTGATGTTTTTTTGTTTTTTTTTCGTTTTTTGCAGTGGTTTTTCTACATGGTGTTCATATCAAACTACTGGCTATCGGCACCGTACGGACGAAACTGGCTGTATCTCTGGTCCAGCAAGCACGCACAGGTGTGGCAAATTGTCCTCCTTGTCCTATTCTTTTTCATTGTTGTCTGGGCGGCAGCTCTCTGGGTTTTCCACGTCTTTTCCAAGAGACACGCCTGGTTCATCCCTATCTTTGCCGTCGGTCTTGGTGCTCCCCGATGGGCTCAGATCCTGTGGGCAACCTCCAACATAGGCACATACATCCCCTGGGCCGGTGGTCCTGTCGCCGGGGCTCTCCTTGGTAGATCACTATGGCTCTGGCTAGGGGTTCTAGATTCCCTTCAGGGTGTCGGTAAGTTTCCTCTTTCCGCAAATAAAAAGTGACACAAACTGATTCATGCCACTACAGGGTTTGGAATGATCCTCCTCCACACAATGACCCGATTCCATGTCACCTTCACTCTCCTAGCCGCGCAAGTGGTCGGTTCTATCGCCACCATCCTCGCCCGCGCGACAGCACCGGATAAGTTAGGCCCTGGTGATGTATTCCCTGATTTCTCCGCTGGCATTGCTGCCGGTTTAGGAAAGGCAGATTTCTGGGTATGTCTGCTCTTCATGGTATCGATCAATGTGCTCTGCATCTTCTTCTTCCGCAAGGAACAACTCTCGAAACCATGAGTATTGTTCGAGCCTTGACTGGCATTTTCTTTCATTTCATTTTCTTTTCTTTTTTGCATCCACTTGATATTGTGCGGGGTAGGTATTGTGACTAGGGCATTAATTATATTATAGCGGGGTTATGTTTACCGGGGGGCGATAGACTTTGTAAAGGTCGCTCCCCATATGTTTTGGATATGTATATAGTGTATCAAAAAAACTACATACTGGTTTACAAGTTCCGTAGGTATCCAAACTTCATCGTGTTCATGTGATGCTTAATAGAAATGCAACCAGTCCATCAAATTCATCAATCTTTACGGTATACCTTGAAACCATTTCCCATTCGATTTAATTTTTCTGTCATGGGCGCATCCCCATCACGCAAAAATCAAAGCGAAAATCAAAGCGAAAATCAAAGCGAAAATCAAAGCGCGGAACAACAAAGGTACAGCCCCACGCTAACATGGGGACACATGGGACTAGGCTGACAGGGACAGCGTACGGAATACGGAGTACATCGTGGGAGAGTCCATTTTAGGCTTAGTCAGGGGAACTGATTATTTCCGAGCTGACAACTAACAAGGGATATATTATTATTATTATTACTATTACTATTATATATGTTATTGTGGTCCATTTTGTTTTGGAAATTCCCTCTCCTTGACTTGTTACTCCTGTCACTCTTTTCACGACACCACGTTCATTCATTCTTTTATTCCACTCATTCCATTCTTTTATTCCATTCTTTTATTCCATTCCTTTATTCCATTCCTTTATTCCATTCCTTTATTCCATTCCATTCCTTTATTTCATACTTTCTGTGCATCTACCTATCTCTCATTCTCATCCGATGCACTGCCTTTTTTCTACGCCGTGGCCCTCTGCCTGTACACGCACTGGGCCGTCGCTGCTTTAACCTCGGGTGAAATTGCCAACTCTCTCAATGAACTTGCTCTGCAAGGATTCGCTGTCAAGGATCTCATATTGGAAATCAATTCCACCGCGGACGCTGGTCCTATTCCGGTAAGTCGGTTTTCTTTTTAGGTCCATGAATAACAACTTATATTAAAAATGCAGGATATCTACACTAAGATGGATACAATGGTAGCGGTGATTCTAACAGACGTAAACTTTATGACAAACACACCGATAATTACCGATCAAGCGGACGAGCAGGAGGTCTATGAGGGATACTCAAATGTAGGTTGATGACAAAAAAGAACACAATCGAAGTCATTTATACTTAATTACACTAGTTTGTACAATCTCTTCTTGAGCTCATGGACGCCGTATCGAGCAGCGCAGCCCAGCTGAAATCGATCAACGAAACAACCAAGAATAACGTTCCCTTTGGAATTCGCATCTTGCAAACTGCCGTTGACGTGAGTTCCCTAATTAACTCTTCGCTACCACCTGAGGAGATGATCGATGAGATGCTGACACCTTACAAGGCCTACTTCTACAACATCATCGGTCTCTTCCCAGCCAACAGCGCATACAACGCCCAGGCCAACAACCAGAAGGCTCAGGTGGATACGCATTGCTTCCAGGCCGTCTGGGCATTTGATCGCAGGTATAGCAAGGGCAACCAGGCTACTTATCAAGCGCGCAGAAACAACTCCCTTCACTCTCGATGGATCAAGCGCCGTTCCTTGTGATTTTGGGTCATGTATGTCTTTGAATAGTTGGGTATATGGCCGCTTGTAGATGTGGCAGATGGGCGGGCGCCCCTACCCATTTTGAACGCAAACTTGCCATGATGCTAACATATATTTATATCAATAATCGAACGATACTCCAAGTATCCTTGTACTAAATTGCACCTTCTAAAGGCTATTTGTTTGACCCATAGAGCTATAAGTACCGTAATACGGTAAAACGAAGCAGCTATCAGTTCTGTATTATTTCAGTATACCTTTCATCAGTATTTCCCAATTCCCTAAGTACCCCCCTTACATCATATTATGTGCCTTATAAGCCCGCGCGCCGGGTGGGATAGTTGGTCCCCCTAACTATATAGCATTTACTAAAAAGGGTGCCCGTAGACCTTCTCTAGGTAAATCAGAACCTTGCACGCATATCATATATATTAAACCGGAAACCTAATGATAAGGATATGTAGAGGACTCGATGAATCAACGGCAGTCTTCTCCGAGGGCCCACGTTGCAATCTAGACCAACGCAGTATCATTGCAGAATATTCAAGTCAAGAAAGACCATTTCTAAAACAGTGTTACTTAGTAGAGCTACAGGACAATGTGTAAGATTGGTTTCTTACTTCAAGCAAGGTACTGCCAGTTCACCAATTCTATAACGAGGCTCAATCACATGGAATGCAATATAACCCCGAATGAAGCCGTTGACAACTTTGAATAAATCCGGCTGACTTGTTAAAGTAGCTTCGATATTGTGGATGCTCTCAAGGATTTCATCCACTAAGCTGCTGAGGCATTCCGATATGGTGCTCTGGCTTGCCTGTGCTCGGTGGTAAACGTAGCCATTCCTTTCCGAAGATACGATTGACTCCTTGTAAAATGAAAGAATGTCGTTCACTTTGTTGGTAAAATCAATCAGCTCTGGTACAGCTTGGATGAACTGAGTCATAGTTTCATTGTACCCGGAACAAATTTCTCTAGGTACAATGAAGTACACAAAAGCCTCCGCATTTCCTGTCATGGACCTGAAGTATTGAGCAAAGTTCGGAGACTTCCGAAGGTGAAGGAACTTTCCGGTCGTTTCGTGCTCCAATGCGGTGGAGCTCATGTGGTTAATTAGGCCAGTAATTACCTTATCTGAAAAAAACTCCAAGTAGTGTGTGTCCAAGCCTCTTAAGAGTTTCGCACAGCCTTCGAACTATTTGCTCTGCGGAAGACCCTCGATGAGGCTGCGACGAAATTTCTGCAAATCGCCTTCGCCCGAGCAAATATCATCGATGGCAAAGAAATATCCTGCGTATACACCAGTAACACGCCGAACCTCTTGGCTTTGGAATGGATAAAACTGCCGAGCGACTAGAGATCCCTGCTTCGCCAATATAGCTGCCTTCCTTTCATCCATTTCTTGTTCCAGAAACTTTGTAAAAATGAAGTTCTCAAGATTTCCATCTTCACTGGGAGATATTTGAAACCTGAAATTTCGCAAGAGCCTATCGACGATTTGTATATATTCATCCTTGGAAATTTGAGATATCGATAGTCGTGGCGTTAGTGTTATTGTTCGTCATTGTCGTTTGGGATCAAACGCGGGAGGAAAAGAAAGGTATAATATTTTTTACTCTACAATAGGAGTAACGGACGTTGCTCTGCCCTTATATGTCGTTGTAGTGAGATAGTGGTCATCAAAATACCCCTCGGGCGTTGTACCTAGCTTGCTTTCAACAAGCAGGTTTCTTCACTTCTGTACGACAATCCCTTTGCAGAATGGGATGCATAAGTGTAGTTTCCTTGCTTTATTTGATATATACTACTCTATAGATCCCTAGTTCTAGTGGCATATCTATATGGCCTGTACGATTATAGTAATGTAGATACAGGTCTAACCCTACATAGTATAGTAACACAAGTTTTGCCAACGCTTTGTTTTCCCTTTCCTCAAATAATAACATCAGAACATCATATAGAGCCCAGATTTTGTTAGGAATTTTTGAAACTCTTCGTGATACACCCTATTATCCTCTAGGTAAAAATCCCACAATACTCTATCGGGATGTGCTACACGAGATGCGGTGTTACCCATTTTGCCTAACTAGCGCCTTGGTAGATGTAATTAATCTTCTATGAATACTGAACCAAACTGTATCTTCGGTCTGTACGTTGCCAATTTTGGAGACTTGCACTACCATAGTAGGACCTGATAAGGGTCGAAAATGAGTTGCCGATATGGTAAGGATGTCGGTAAAAAGACATTGGTTGTTCAGCAATGATATTTAACAACAATATTTCAGATACGCACACCAAAATTTTCGGTTCTAGTAATTGCAAATATATGACGAAGACCGGCTCCTAGCCTGTCCCATATATCATTTCCTTGGCCCTATTTTCAGATTATAGTACTCCTACTTTGATTGTTTTGCCCCTTTGTTCCTTCTTCCAGGTTTCTTTCACTTCTCCTTCATGTCATGCGTGTAGGGTGGAAAATAATGCTACGAGAAAAGCCTTTAGTGAATTTGATGACACAAATGATGGAAATGGAATAAGAGAAGGCTTTCCCACCTAGTCGGATGGAAGAATCTAGAGAGAATAACTATATTGGAATGCCCTTACGATTATCGCTACCGCGGACAGAGTTGCAGCATATCGAAGAATGGCCTCTCCCGAAACCGGCTCCTTATTCAGTTTACTGGGCCACATTGTCCTAGAGAATGATTCTATGGATGAGACATCAACTAGGGTTGCGTAAGTGGGTCCCTTCCCCAGGAATTAATTCATAACGATTCAGGTTTGACATTTGTATAGTTGGCATTCGCAGCTCCAAAATGGCTGCAAGAATGTTTATTCTTCGGAGTATGCAAAAATGAAGGGCTCTGTGGCCGAAGACTTGCACAACCGCAAGATGACATACCCTATCGTGCTAGCATTAGATGCACCTGACGGACATTGGGAGACTGGGGCCTTGGAATCTCCGTCGCCCGCAATATTCGCAATGCGATGAAGGTAGTCCGATGTGACTATGTGCGGAACATATGCATGGATCAACTGTCTAAATCCGGTGCCTCGGTCAAAGAATGGCTGGAAATATGGGTTCGAAAGGAGAAACTGTATTTTAAGTAATGAGTTAACGCGATACGTGTTCATGGGTCACATGTATTGCGAGTCTTGTCACAGTATTTCAATTTGGATAATGTGAATGGAATCATCCAACATGAATACAATAAATTTATTAAACGACCTTTGAGTGTGGATCACCCGCGAGAGAAGAACGTGATTAAATGTCACGAGAGCTCGACCGTCTCTGCGGCAGAGTAGTCCCAGATTCCTTCAAAGCCACACACACACCCCGGGGATGTTTGGGGCCATCAGCCCTTGAATATGGTGGAATCATCTTATGCGAGCTAGTGGTTTGCGCTTGCACGTTAAATGACTTAGCCATTTATCATATTGCCAATCCCTAAAGAGCAACAGAAAGAGCATATCCCCTAAATACAAGTGTATCTCCGGTATGAGCAATCCGGAGGTCCATCCTTCCGGGGTTATCTGACACATGTCACGATCTGCAGGTCCAATGATTATTGGTTGCTTTCGGCATTTTGCTTCACATATTTCATCTTATATAAATCTAGACAGCAGAGGAATGCGGGAAAACGCTTGATTTCGGAAGTGGAAGTTTCATGTACTTCGTACAACATTTGATTTAAATATAGCGGAATATTAGTTTCTCCCCTCGACGAGCACGCCAACTATTTGTTGCGTTCATCAATTCAGGACACCCTCGAACAACCCATTGCCATTTCTTCAGAAATGGCTCAGTCACCTCCCAGTTCTGCACGTCCCAAGGTTCTCCCCAAACTAGCAGTCCGGCATCCATTGTTGACTCACCCCAGAAACCCATGATGTCGTTACAGAGTTGCTCGTCATCCCAATCATCCCCCGCTTCGATGAGATTATCGCGCATCTTAGGTAAGGGAAAGAAGTCTAACCACGGGTGATGGTGTATCGATTTTTGAATTCGAGTAGGCTGCAGGTTGGTCGGAATGAGGCTGTTGGGGCTGCTATTGCCCAGGCCAGGGGGACTTGGTGGCATAATTGTATTGAACGGTGAAATGGCGTCGTGGTCCATCCAGTACTCCGACCAGCCGATTAATCGCAGGTTCTGGGCGAATGCACGGAACACGTTCACTTTCGTTAGCGTCATAAGATGATCGGCGGTCGGGTCTCCTCGCGCATAACTTTCAAACGCTGACTTGGCGAATCTCTCTAAAATATTTTGTAAAGATTCGGCGTTGTAGCAGAAGTTGAGTCTCGGATTGTCTTGGGAAGAACGATCTTGTGACTGGACGGTAACGGTCGAACGAGCGGATGGTACTACATTTAGGCTCTTGGGCTGGATGTCTTTGGTTGATAGCAGTCGCTTGCGCTTCCCTGGTAAAGATTAGCTCTCCTCAACAAAGTGTAGCGAAAGTGACATACGGTAGGCCCTCTGGTTTATGCGGTTCTGTCGCCGACGGCGTTCGGTCGGGTCACTCAATTCAGACCAGTTGTCTGTCCCTTGCTCGGCGTCATCAGATCTGACATCAGGGATGGAGATTATATGGTCAATTTTCGAGGTTTCTGTCATTCTGACTTATCAGCGCGAGGGTCAACGGGTGTCACGCCTTGCTTATGGGACAACAGTTTTCAAGGTGCCAGTCCGCCACCCCATGTTGAGGAAGAATCCAATCGGATTGCTTGGCGATCGGAGTTACTCACGGAGTTAAGATATGATGTTCCCATATTACGAAATGGTCATAGCAGCCCTAGAGTGCAATAATGGATTCTTGCATACATACAAAGTACAAATTGGATGTATGCTTTACAGATGAATGAAATATTGGAAGATCTATAAGTATGTATCAACGTTCTGTGCATTTCAAATCTTTGCGAATAACTATAGTTAACTATGTCGTTTGGGTGCCTGAGAATCCAGGCATCAACCCCTCAGGGTAGTCGGCAGAGCACCCCTCCATAGAAATCAACTCTCTCCCTCCACACTTCTAGGCCCCTACATTGTAGAGACCCTTCAACATATGTAGCTCACAAAAATAACATCGCATCATCATTGATTTATCTAAACTCTGCATACGAAAAATCAGCCGGGGCTAGGCATCGCTGGCGCTCTCCAAATGCATATAGACCCAGCATCATGCCAGTAAAGTTGGCCCCAACTGGAGGTGCTGCCGTAGCAGCACTATTAGAAACCGACCCAATCCAGTGGATGTCAGATTCTGTCCCCTCAAGATACCCAAATCGATACTCGCTACCACAATCAACTGTGAGAGTAACAGCAGTGTCTGTGCCCAATCTACGCTCCACGATATCGCCCTCTGATGGCCGAAAACGAATGAAGCGGCCCTTGCTATCCTTCCTGATACCGATACTGCTATATGTAAAATAATTTAACCACACCACAGTGCCAGCCTCCGTTTCACCTACTGTCGGCTGAAAGGAGAGCCTTGTCTCCCACCTGCAGACGAGGTGAGTTTGCTTGCGAAGAAACATGGTTGGACTGGCCGGCACTGAAAGGTTATAAGGCCCACCATGGAGGCGAAGGTAGTTGGGGCGCTCAGTAAGTGAGTAGTCATTTACGAAGGGCGTATCTATTTTCTGGTCAGGTGGGCTCAGGCAGTTTATTTCTTTGGGGCTCACTTTTTCGATACCATCCAACTTGCATTTGCGGGTCCGAAAATTCATCTCTCCAGGAAACCGGTGTATTAAATTCATAAAGACCAGGTCCATGGGAGTTGAGAGTGATTTTATGTCCTCCATTGATCACGGGCCAGTCGTCTTTCCATTCCAAGGGGACTAGGAATGTCTCTCGGCCTGGGAAGATTAGTATAATAACCGACCAATACTTTGAGTCGCCATACCTAGCACTGAGTCTTCCCACGTATCTCCCTTTCTTGAAGGACGAACACCGAGAACAACTGCCCACCATTGGCCCTTGGTGTCCTCAACCAGATCGGCATGTCCCGTGTTTTGCACTTCGTCTTCAACGCCGTTGCGCCAGAGCGGGTTATTTGGCCCGAGCTCCCACGGCCCTAATGGACTGACCTCACTGCGGTTCACCCATTCGCTATGGCCACTTTCAGTACCGCCTTCTGCTGTGAACAAATACCAATAACGACCGCGTTTGAAGATACGTGACCCCTCAGCAACACCGGAAGAAGATTCGCGGATCATTTTAGGCGCTGACGTAGAATTCCCGGTGGCCAGGTCAACAGTACAAATATGAATCGCAAAATCCTTCAGCTTAGCGCCAATAGTTGGCTGAATCTTTCTGTAAGTGGACGATAAATACACAGTTCCATCGTCATCCCAAAAAAGCTGTATTCAACTGTCATTCCCGCAAGTCTTTTAAGGGGGTGGTCAAAGCTCACATCTTGGTCAAAGCCAACTTGATCAAAATAGATTGGATCAGACCATGTCGTCTCATTCCATATATCGGTTGTTTTGACATAAAATCCCTGTGGCCAAACTCGGTCATCCTGTTGAGGACGATAACGCTGAAAGCTCGCGGCAATGATATAGTAAACCCCTTTGTGGTAACGGATTGTGGTTGCCCAAACACCTCCCCCGGGTTCCGGTGTATGGATTTGAAGCTGGCTCGGACGTGTCAACGCATGACCGATCAATTTCCACTGAATCAAATCCCGGCTGTGGTAGATAGGAGCTCCAGGGAAATATTCAAAGGTGGAGGTGACCAAGAAAAAGTCTTTATCGACACGAACAATCGACGGGTCGGGATTAAACCCCGGTATGATGGGATTATTGTAACTCATTCCTGTTAAAATATACCAAGTTGACAGCGCTTTTAAGTGGGCTTATATATGAATGTATATACTCCGATTGGTGGAAAAACAACACCCGTAGGATCCAAAATGTGGCCCAAGTTCGTATTGCCGGGGCAGGTCTTTCAAATGGAGTGCTGGTGGTAAACCACGATATATTAGTATATACGAGATCTTTTAATCAAAGATACAATACTTTCTTCGTGGAATTGCCGAATCCAATACATATCAGTTATTGGGCTGGATGCACTCGATAAAATCCTAAGCGATCACGGACGTTATTCATTGATCTAAATCCAATTTTCATATATAATTAAGTACACAGTCCTTCACAACAACTCAGGGAGTTTATCTACCAATACAGAATCTCTCTCGGTCCATGACGTCTCAGCGCATAAATATAACAAGCACAAGTATCCGAGCAAAACACAAACTGGGCAAGGCGTCTAATACCCCGTTCAAGGTGGATAACTATCATCCTCACCCGATTTTCTGCCGAAGCAATGTGGGGGACGTCACCATCCCCTCATCTCAATCTGGCAATCATGCGGGTTGACCCCCACGCCAAGGAAAGAACGGATTTTTGGGCTGTCATTGCTGTTGATGGTTCTACTTGCAAACAGAATTGGCACCGCACTGAATTACACGCTATGGCAACTACACGTGTGATTCAAAAAACGCGCGATTCGAATCTCATCGCTCTCGAGGCTTTGCCTCATAGCCAGTCAGGTACAGGTTCACCTTTGGGTCCTGAAAGCTTTCCGTTATTGGAGAAATGGAACCAGCCTCACGTCAATATCCATCGAACCTTTGCAACATTCTGGTCATTCCTAGTCATGGGTGCTAATGACGCAGCCTATGGTGTAAGTTGATATGGCTCCAAAGGAGCACATTTTGATCCCAATGTTGCGGGATATCTGTTGACTATTCGCAGGCTCTAATTCCATATGTAAGATGAAACCCCTGCAGTTAACAACAATCTGTCTCATCTAGCATACAGCTAGAATCATACTACCATCTATCGTACACGGTTGTGTCTCTCGTTTTCTTGTCGCCTCTAGTAGGCTATACAGTCGCCGCTTTTCTCAATCACCGCATCCACTATACATTCGGTCAACGTGGTGTGGCCATTATCGGGCCAGCGTGCCATCTCATTGCCTATATTATCAACTGCGTTCATCCACCCTATCCGGTATTAGTGGTGGCATTCATCTTTGCAGGGTTGGGAAATGGCCTAGAGGATGCTGCATGGAATGCGTGGATTGGTAACATGGCTAATGCAAATCAGGTGCTGGGAGTATTGCATGGGATCTATGGAGCTGGTGCAGTTATAAGTCCGTTGGTCGCAACGTCGATGATTGCTAAGGGGGGTCTGCCGTGGTATTACTTTTATTATGTCATGGTAAGTGCTTGGACCTTGGAAGGTTTCTGACAGGTATTGACCACGAGTTAATGCTCAGATCGCATGTGCGGCCATCGAATTGGCAGTTTCTGGCGCATGCTTCTGGAAATCAACCGCCGCCGATTTCCGCGCATCCAACGTACCATCTTCGGACGAGAACAAAAAAGGTGGCTTGAGAGATGCACTCTTCAAACGCCCCGCCGCCCGGGTAACCTGGCTCTGCGCATTGTTCCTACTGGGATACGTGGGAGTAGAGGTCGCGCTGGGAGGGTGGATTGTTACTTTTATGATCCGAGTTCGGCAAGGTAGTGCTTTTGCTAGCGGTATGACGGCCACTGGATTCTGGTTGGGTATCACAGTTGGACGGGTAATTTTGGGGTTTGTGACACCCCGGGTGGGCGAGAAAGTTGCAATTTCGGTGAGCATCACGCTTTTAGGGGGGGATTCTTTTTCTTTTATTTGCAGTGGAGCCAGACTGATTTTCACCAGGTATATATAGTGTGCTCTATAGGATTTGCTTTGATTCTATGGCTTGTGCCCCAGTTCTATGCGTCAGCTGTGGCAGTGTCTCTGCAAGGCTTCTTCCTTGGACCCCTTTTCCCCGGGGCAGTTGTCATCGTTACCAAGCTTCTTCCTCGGCACCTACATGTCACCTCAATAGGGTTTGTCGCAGCCTTTGGGGGTAGCGGGGCGGCAATCCTCCCTTTTGCAGTTGGTGTGCTTGCACAAGCCAAGGGAGTGAAAGTGCTACAGCCATTTATCATCGCCCTATCTGGTGCCATTCTCATCACGTGGCTGGGATTGCCGCGGGTGGCCAAGGTCAGTCACAACGACTAAATCAAACCTTGGAAATCTCTCACATGTTGACATGTGAGAATCATTCGGGAACTTTTGTTTTTTTTTTGTTATCAGATCCGATTATTTATCTCGGACTTTTCGCTCATCCCGTATGCAATGTTGTACTCAGTTTCACGTGAGCCTTTTGTTTTTCATCTTAACAATCTGACCACATGACTGGGGGTATGGTTTACAAGTTTTAACACCTCCAAACCGAGGTCATTTCCCAGAACATTTCTAGGGTTATATGTATTCCGATCGCGGGTGATCTCATCACTCTCTGACCCGATAATCGGGGTCAGCTGATTTCGGGACTGGTTCAGCCGTGAAAGCCGTCAAACCGAAATGTGTACGGAGTATGTTCTCCCCGCTTCCCCATATCAAAATTAGTCCATGATAAAGATGTGCGGGGCTGACTCCTGTGAAGGGATGAATGATCGGTAATTAAGAAATTGTGTATGGAGGACTCCATAATCCATCCATTTACATGTATACTCCAAAGAGGGTCTTAACAGGTGTAAAAGGCAGTCAACCTCGGGAATTGGAAACTTCCGAATTTGGAAGTTCCCCGGCCCTCCGCCATTCCCCACTTAGTCAGCTTGTTTAAGCCGAGGCTGTTTCCTAATTTAGACCCTCGGCCCTTCCAAGCTTCCTCCTTCTCTCTGGGGTTCATAACCCCATCTTTCCCCGTTTCTTCTCTTCCATCTATTCCAATATATCCCCTTCCTCATTCACAATGCCAACACCTCCTCCTAATTGGGTTAAGGCCCTGAAGCCGTCCGGTCCGCAAGGATCTGAGCTCCTCCAGCAGGAGCGCGCTCAATCGAATGTCGACGTGGAAAGATTATCCGAGTTGCTGCACACAAAGGAAACTCTAGAGCGACGAGCATCCCTCCTAGCTCTTTTGCAACCCGAAAAGGTATTTGATAAGTCTCAAAATCATACTTTGGGCCGCGTAGAGCGGCTCCAGCGGTCGCTAGCCAAGGCCAAGCGCCTCCAGCAGCTCGCAGAAGAGCACAAATGGTCAATGACTGAGCTCCATGCGGCCAATGACTTGATCGGTGAACCCACTCCATATGGTTTGCACGCCAGCATGTTCCTGGTAAGTAGATTGCATCCCCCCACCCGCGGCAAGAATCCAATTGACCGCTTTGATCGTTATCCAGGTGACTCTCCGGGAACAAGGCACCCCCGAGCAGCACAAGCTGTTCCTTGAACGCGCAGAAAAATACGAGATCATCGGCTGCTATGCCCAAACGGAACTGGGTCACGGATCGAACGTGCGCGGGTTGGAAACCACCGCCACCTGGAACTCCAACGATAAGACATTCACCATCAACTCCCCAACATTGACTGCTTCGAAGTGGTGGATCGGATCTCTTGGTCGCACGGCCAATCACGCTGTGGTTATGGCCCAGCTGTTTATTGATGGCAAGAACTACGGTCCTCACCCATTCGTTGTGCAGATCCGTGACCTCGAAACCCATCAGCCCTTGGATAATGTATATGTGGGTGATATTGGTCCCAAGTTTGGCTACAAGTAAGTCTGATCTCACTATTTGACTGGCAGTAGGACTAATGAATGACTACTTTAGCACCATGGATAATGGTTTCCTGCTGTTCAACAATGTCAAGATACCCCATGTCAACATGCTAGCCCGCTTCTGTCAGGTCAACAAAGAGACGAACCAATATGCTAAGCCTGCTATGCCATCTCTTGTGTTTGGTACTATGACTTGGGTGCGCGCCAATATTGTTCTCGATGCGGGTGGTGTTCTGGCTCGCGGTGTCACTATTGCGACCCGGTACTGTGCAGTTCGGAGGCAATTCCAGGATCGCGATGCGGATCCACACGCGGGTGAGACCCAAGTATTGAATTATAAGATGGTCCAAGTGCGCTTGCTCCCGCTTTTGGCATCCATGTATGCCCTTCATTTCACTGGTCGCGGCATGATGCGTCTGTATGAGGAGAATCAAAGCCGCATGAAGGCAGCCAGTTCGCCAGACCAGGAGTCACGGGGTGCTGGACCCGAGCAGCTCCGCGCCGGTGCGAATCTCCTGGCGGATCTACATGCCACCTCCTGTGGTCTCAAGGCCCTGGCCAGTACCACTGCTGGTGAGGGTCTGGAGATCTGCCGCCGCGCATGTGGTGGACATGGATACAGCAGCTACAGCGGTATTGGACCGGCATATGCGGACTATCTGCCCACACTGACCTGGGAAGGTGACAACTATATGTTGACCCAGCAGGTTGCACGTTATGTACGTCGCAGTTCTTTCTTCCATCCTATCCACTCGAGACTGACAATATCAACAGCTTCTTAAATCTGCCCGCGCCGTCCTAGCTGGCAAGCCAGCTGCTAACGACACTAGCCGGATCCTCCAGGCATACCTCGACCGACGCGACAAGGGAGCTTCATTCGATGTGCTCGATGAAGACAAAGACATTGTCGCTGCCTTTGCATGGCGCACGGCCCATCTGACTTTCGAGGCTCTGAAGCATCGGGATGCTGAGCAGCGCTCCTGGAATAGCCTTTTGGTTGACTTCTGGCGCTTGTCTACGGCTCACTCTCAGTACCTGGTGGTGAAGAACTTCTACGAGGCGGTTTCCTCTCCTCAACTCTCAGCAGCCTTGGACCCAGAGACCAAGGGCCTCATGCACCAATTATTCCGTCTCTTCTCGCTCCATACTTTGGAGCGCGAAGCGGCTGAGTTCTTCTCCTCCGGTGCGGTCACTGTGCGACAAATCACACTGACTCGTACTACTGCGGTACTAAAACTGCTTGATGAGATCCGCCCGCACGCTGTTCGTTTGGTCGATGCCTGGGCGATTCCAGATTGGCAGCTGGATAGCAGCCTGGGTCGCTATGACGGCAAGGTGTACGAGGATCTGTTCCGCCGGGCAAGCGAGGAGAACCCTGTTAACGACTTGGTGTTCGACCCTTACCCATGGAATTCAGCATTGCTCAAGAATGAGCCGGCCAAGAGCAAGCTGTAAATTTTGGATTCTGCGATACACCTGTTCTTCTGATGTAATTTTTATGCCTTTTTGGTTCAAAGAATAGACCATAGAGAGATGAGCTATATACCTAGGTCTCGTAGAATGGTCAATGATTGTGTTAGAAACCTATTCTCTTGGTTCAGCTTGTTCTCTAGCGAAGATTTTGCAATTCGTTTAGATAGTGATCGTACTTGACTGGGTACCCAGATCGGACTTGTCATGCTGCAAGCCCATTGCTGAGGATTCACATCCCAGCTACTGATTGTCTATGGACCCTATGTACTAACATGCTACATCACTTCCTTCCATGAGGAGGGTCAGCAAAGGATATTTTGACCAGAGTCCGATTGTCTTTTGTTCCTAGGCACTAGAATAGAACCTGAAGGTTGTGTAGGGATCCATATCCGAAGTCGACCCGATAGGATATTCATTTCAGGTCAAACGTGCAATAGTTGACGAAACAACGCTCGATAAAGGTGGATCTTGGGAACTGATAATACTTACCTTCGGGCTTAGGGGGTCGGGTCGTGGGAATCACAATTTCACATGACAGAGCTGTCATCAGAATCAGCCTCTATTGAGTCACAACCCAAACGTAGCGCGTCCCTCCACATTCCATAAGTATACGATATCTACTAACCTATGCCAGATACCAATCCAACAAAATGCTGTGTCAGTATGGTGTGGTAATGTGATTGAAAGAGTCGACAGTGAGCTCCGATTTAGGTTATATAAAGCACAGGTACACAGCAAGTAGATTAGGGACATCCCAGGGGATGATGGCAATGTGGTGTCGCGGGGGTGGATCCTAAATTTGTCCACGGCTAAGATATAATGAAATAAAAGACCTCGGGGTTGTATGTATGGGATAGATGAAGATATCATGAAAGTTCAAAGACCTTGCTCGGTGAACTATACTATACAACCTAGTCAATACAAGTCTTCATTTACTAGAACTATCCTAGGCACCGTCAGACACCACTGAAGAATAATAGAAATGACATCAACTTCGACCATCAACCACCAACAAGCTAAATGCAAGCGAAAAAGAAAAACAGGTAGGAGATATCCCAAATAGAGCATTGAAAGGGGAATAATCCGAATTTAGCTTTGCGAATATGATTTACCCGACCTTTCTCAGAGATACATATTCAATATAGTATGAGCTCGCTTAGGCCCTTTGACTCGAATTAAAGCCCTTCTGATGCAAAAAGCTCGTACGATCCGATTCTATCAGAGCACCGCCATCTCACAGATAGCGGCATTTTTCAAGGTACTAATAAAGAAAACATGTTTAAAGGAAGAAAATATAGGTATGATCGGGCGTGTTCGGGAGATATTATAAAAAAAAAATGGGCCGACAAAATGAGATTTGAGAAGGAGTACTCACCTCATCAATATAACCCAATGTAGAAGAACTGGTTTATCCGGGGGCATGACGTCGGTATGCCGATCTGTTGCGAGAAACGGGATCACTTTTGGATCGTCGGTAGAAAGAGGGTATAACTGATAATAGGCAGAACGCAAACCTTGGAATTCATATAGCACAATTATCCGTGTCGGAGGTCTGGGAGTCACCTAAAACCGGGGATAATCCCGCGGATAAATGAACCATCTCGGTTAATAAGGGCACATCGAATGTCCCGACTGGTTCTTCTACTACTCCGCCATGTCCACCCCCGACTTTTGTACCCCGACTTTGGTGCCCCGGGTTTCTCCTCCCCTCCTCCACAACTCATGCCCGTTGATCCTTTTCCCGTTCCAGGGCCAATGCCCCGGTCCCGGAATCCTACTATGTAACGTCGCGTGGCCCGAGTCGACGTGCCGAATCATGCATTGGCCTGTCAATCTGCTACTACTTTACTTATAAAAACGCCTTCCCGCAAGCCCAAAGCTTCGATTGACAACCTTCAAAGTCCAATTCAGTCATGTATACTATAACGAACATTTACGGTATGTGTGGTCTGGCTGTTGAGAGTATTCATGACGCTCATATTCCACAGTTCTTGCCGCCTTTGGTACTATTGGAGGCGCTCTTTTCGGCTTCGATGTGAGGTGTGTACATTCCACATCCTTTCCCAGAGATGATAACCATGGAGACTAACACAGGCTATATAGCTCGATGAGCGCCTGGATTGGCGTTGATACATATACAGATTACTTCGGCTCGCCAGACTCTAACCTCCAAGGTGGAGTACGCGATTTCCAATCTCTGATTTTGATTCATGTGCTAATATTCCACAATAGATTACAGCATCGATGTCCGCCGGTTCCTTCGCCGGTTCAATTGCAGCGGGTTGGCTATCGGATATTCTTGGTCGTCGCTATGCATTAATGATCGCCTCTCTTGTTTGGATTGTCGGTGCCATGGTCCAATGCAGTGCACAAAATGTGACGCATTTGGTCGCCGGACGTGTTGTCAGTGGACTTGCAGTTGGCGTGACCTCCTCGCAAACATGCGTCTACTTATCTGAACTAGCACCCGCTCGTATCCGTGGTCGCGTGGTGGGCATTCAGCAATGGGCAATCGAATGGGGTATTTTGATCATGTACCTCATTGCATACGGCTGCGTGGTTGGCGTATCTGGGACGGCTGCTTTTCGGATTTGCTGGGGTGTGCAGGCTGTGCCAGGCCTCGTCCTGTTCATCGCTTTGTTCTTCTTCCCCGAGTCCCCTCGCTGGCTTGCCTCGCAGGAGCGTTGGGAAGAAGCATTGGACACATTGGCAATCATCCACGCCAATGGTGATCGCCATGACCCAGTTGTACAGGTAGAATTCGAAGAAGTCCAAGAGGCCGTGCGTGTGGCGCATGAATCTCAAGAGGTCTCATTCCTGGCATTGTTTGGACCTCGTGTTTGGAAGCGCACGATGTGTGGAATGAGTGTTCAGATGTGGCAGCAACTTCTGGGAGGTAATGTTGCCATGTATTATGTGGTTTACATTTTCGAAATGGCTGGCATGGTAAGTTTCTCCTCAAACAAAGCGAAGGAAGCTGAGGCGGTTTAGCTGACCATCAACTACAGACTGGGAACACAACCCTGTGGTCTTCCGCTATTCAGTATGTCATCTTCTTGGTGACTACAGGCTTCATGCTTCCCTTCATCGATCGCGTTGGGCGAAGAAACATACTTCTTATCGGATCTGTCACCTGCATGGCTGTGCACTTTATCATTGCTGGTGTCATGGCCAGTAAAGGCAACCCAGTTTCGAGTGTCAATGGAAATGCCAATTTGACGTGGGAGATCAAGGGCAGTGCAGGAATGACCGTTATCGCCTTTTCATACATCTTCACTGGCATATACGGCCTGACTTGGGTATGTTATATTCTACTATGCTTGTATTTGAAACATCGCCTAACATTTCTAGGCTCCAACTGCATGGATCTATGCCGCCGAGGTTTTCCCCCTGAAGTATCGAGCGAAGGGCGTCGGCTTGTCGGCCGCCACCAACTGGATCTTCAATTTTGCTCTGGCTTACTTTGTGGCACCGGCCTTTCACAATATTCAGTGGAAGACCTATATTATTTTCGGGGTATTCTGTACTGTCATGACCTTCCATGTGTTCTTCACGTATCCTGAGACTGTGGGCCGGTCTCTTGAGGAGATCGACCTAGTCTTCGAGACCGATATCAAGCCATGGCGCACTCACGAGATGGGAGATCTTTTTGGAGAAGAGATTGAACGTCGCAAGGAGCTTGGTGCCAAGACAGATACCAGTGGTACAACCCATGAAGAAGTGGTCTAAATCAACGGTGGGTGATAGCTCAGAAGGCAGCGCAGTCGGCCAGAAATATATGATTTACGAACACCTAAGCCCTAAACTAAGACACTTTTCAAATCATATCTTGTTGCGCGATTATTATATTCAATGGACAAGATATTGACGTTAGAGATGTCGCATCCGCGTTGCTTCGACAAATCCACATTGATGGATATCTTGAGCATACAACCCAACGTCACATAAAGTGATGCCATACAAGGTGGAGATAACAGGAGTAATATACATCAACAACTTTCAATAGAGCTAGAACATTGGAGACGCTTTATGTGCAAATTGATTTCAATTAGAATGAAAACGTCGACTTTAACAAGGGGGTCGGGCAGAAGATGGATTCGTGAAATGGGCACAACGAAATAACCCAGGGCAACTTGGAAGAGTGAAGTCATAATAGATGGCTGGAGAAAATAACATCATCCAACACAACAGACCTATTTGATCTCTCCTCGCTAGTGGCTCCGTTACTGTATTGTTCTGTATGTTGAGTAAGGCTGTGGTGGTGAGTGGGCCTTACTCTCCTTGTTTAGGAAGCACAATTGACAGCATCATTTTCGGCATCGTCCATAGTGTGCAATAGTTTACTATTAGGACTATATATATGGGGCTCAGTATGAGCGAGCGATCAGTCTTGTGACCCATCGAGCATGACATGGCCTGTTTTGCTTTTTCCTTGCGCCCCTAAAGAATACGCCAACGAGGTGACTCGGAGAATAACGGCGGCGAAGAATGTTTGGAACCCCCCAGCGGGAATCTTCAAGCAACTTCGGCTGGTCAAGTCAGAATCAATATAACTAGTAACTGATTGTGATAATGATCCTACTAGGTAGCCCTCCCCGATCATGAATATCTCACCGCATCGATAAGATGCATTATATTCGATGTTAGATTCCTTTTTATGTGTGGTGCCTATCTCACTAATTCATCAATCACACACAACCTGCCAAGTCTCAGTTACCGCACTTCTACTTTGGTCACCATAAAGCTCCATAATGTCTTCTATCCGTATCATCGTCTTAAGAGGCACCCCAGTTACGAGCTCCTTTTTCTTGGTGAGAAAATATCTCGAAGAATAAAGTTGGACAATAGCTCACGTGCATTCCTCGGAATAATATTTATTTCTCCACTTCCATCATTGATGGATCAGGATTCCCAAAAGATCTACTGACGCCAGAAACCTGTTACCCGGTACCCCTTATATCTATCCCTTCGAAATGACGCTTGAGGTATTTGTTACTGCCGAGTCCCGAATGTATTTGCAAAGGGCGATCTTATGTTTCGTTCGCACCTAGATCAGATCACCAGAATCCTTCCAATTCGTAAAAGCTAATTAGTCCTTGCAATGCTAGAATTCTAGTATACCTGTAGTAGAGTAATACGAGGGTGGAGGATGGTTTGTGAGGCGTGCATCAACTTTCGATGCTACAGTTTAATGAGTGTTGTCGTGGTTTTGTGGCTACCCAATTAGCGCTGCGTAAATATATATAATATCGTATACAAACACTACCACCGTCGAAATGTCCATTCGTGTTCTATGAGAAAGCCGATAATGTTTATAATGATAAAACACACATATACTGCTTCATGCGAGTCAGTTTGTTATACAGAGGTGGCACATTAATTGATGAGTATGTTCATAGAAATGTTGGTTATGTAGAAACCCTACATCTGACAGTTGATCGTATGAGTATCATCGTAACAAAAACGAACAACTAGATTGTGTATAGTCCCGGGGTGAACTATCATCTACGGAGTACAAGGATCAATTCTCGATACCTTCAATCGTGTTTGGGAGAGCACCAAAATATCAGGTAGGCTTTCAAGCTATTTACTCAAAGTATCAATTGACAAGCAATCATAGGATCTGTGTTGGTGAAGTTACAGTCTCACTGGAATGTAGGGTTTCGAGATTCATCACGCCGAAAGTGATCGATCTCGAGTAATGAACGAGATCAAATGATACAACCTTGTCATGAGATTAATTTCCCAGTCGAACAATTTACATTTTCAGAGCATGAGATAGTATTTGAGTAAGGGCATAGATGCTGCTTGGATCTATAGGATATCTTGTCACCTTGTGAAGGAAAAGATACTACATACCAATCAATGTAGCAAGAATGTGAAGTGAAAGTGAAAGAGCCCGAGCATAAATCAAGATATAAACCCCTTGCATACTTTATCGGGTTACATCCGGCTGTAGTAATGTAGGTCCATAGATGTCCTACAAGAAAAGTACTGTACGTCCACACTCAGATTTAATGTGATGGTTTCTACCTTGCCTATTTCACACACCCTTCAGACTTCAGTCTGAATGATTCGACCAAACGCATTTTTATGAGTTCTCGGTATTTGAATATCAACTACGAAATTCAACTTGAAGTTTCATGACAGACAGTTCAAGCATGAATGACTTCAGGGATAAATATAACACAAATCGAGATGACATCCCATTGAAAGAGGCTAGAACTGAGAATAGTGACGATGATGATGACGATGAAGAAGAAAAGCAAGTCTATCCACCAAGCTCAAAGCTTGCTCCAATTTTGATAGGACTTTGCTTTCAATCTTTTTGTATTGCCTTGGTAAGTTTCGAGCTATTGTTACGATTTCATAAGCTGATGTGGACGACTTACCAGGACAACACAATCCTCTCAACCGCGGTTCCCAAGATCACTGAACAATTCAACTCACTTGGCGACTTATCTTGGTATGCCAGTGCTTACCTTTTAACCACATGTGCCGTCACTCTACCATTTGGCAAGGTATACACATATTATTCGACAAAGTGGACATACATGGTTGCTCTCGGCTTGTTTGAAATCGGGTCTCTGATATGCGCAGTCACGCCAACATCAAAGGGATTGATATTTGGGCGAGCAATTGCCGGCGTCGGATCTGGAGGATTGTCACCGGGCGCTCTACTTGTGCTCGCAAACAGTGTGCCCCTTCACCGACGTGCCCTCTATTTCGGAATTATCGGCAGCACGAGTGGAATTGCGACAATCACAGGTCCACTGTAAGTCCTGTGATTTCAATCGTATATAATGGCGGCTAATTCTACAATAGGCTAGGGGGGCTGTTAACTGATCATGTCAGTTGGAGGTGGTGTTTTTGGATAAATCTGCCTTTTGGCGTTCTCACTGGCCTTGTCATTTTAATCTTCTTCAAGGATTCCACATCGCCAAAACCCAAAATAAGTCGACTAGGGCAGCTAAAGCGAATGGATCCCCTCGGTGTACTTGCCTTCATCCCCGCGGTCGTCTCCCTTCTATTGTGTCTCCAATGGGGTGGCACCAAATACAGCTGGGGCAATGCTCGAATCATTGTTCTCTTTGTTCTGTTTGGCGTTCTCGGTTTTGCGTGGTGCATTATCCAGGTCTGGCAGCAGGACAACGCCACAGTACCGCCTCGTTTACTCAAGAATCGAAATGTACTTGGGGCAGTACTTCATGCTACATTCCTAGGTGGTTCTTTTTTCATCTTTGGATACTATGTGGGTTCTAAATGCAATCCTTCCTGGCTTCGCTGCTAACAAGTCTCCAAGCTCCCTATCTGGTTTCAAGCAGTCAAGGAAGATTCTGCATCAGAATCTGGAATCAACAATCTTCCCATGGTGGTCGCTATGATTGTATCCTCTGCTTTAGCAGGATTATTGGTTAATATCGTTGGATACTATACGCCACTTATGTTCGCTGGAAGTGCTTTGCTCGCGATTGGCTCTGGACTGTGTACAACTTTCAAGGTGAACAGCGGACATCCGCAGTGGATTGGATACCAAGTCATACTTGGAATTGGAGCAGGGCTTGGCTTCCAGCAATCGATCAACGCACTTCAGACTGTACTGCCATTACAGGACATACCGATCGGAATTGCCATCATCACCTTTGCACAAAGCCTCAGTGGGGCAATGTTTATTTCAATAGCCCAAACAGTTTTTGAAAATCGCCTTGTGGCCAGCATAACGGCTAATGCTCCCAATCTCAGTCCGAACGCAATAATAAAGGCCGGAGCTGCGAATTTATCCCAACGCGTGCCCAAAGAGATGCTGCCCTCCGTCCTATATGCCTACAACATCGCCATCATTCAAACATTCTACGTTTCCGTCGCTGCTGCACTACTCTCATTTATTGGTGCTGGACTTGTTCAGTGGAAGTCCATGAAAAGACGGCAGAAATATGACGGCACAGCTTGATCCAGTGGATATCAAGAGTTGGCGACTTTTCTAATTGATTGATATCCTATGTTACTTTCGGGTTGTTCATGAGCATTTTCCGTCGTGATTCTTGTAAATAATGCGGTCCAGATTGATTTCACTCTCAGACTTGATACAGGCAGGTGATATGTTTGCATGGTGGTTAGTATAGGAAATGCCTGACCCAATGAATATAAAAATACAACAATTCAACCCCAACGCCATATTGCAACTCAATGATCCTTTTTCGCCCCAAAAATATCATCTTCAAATGATTCACACAACTCTCTCCATGTTAGCCACTGGCCGTCAACATCCATCCATGCACCAACAGCGTGTAGACCCTCGTCGGATGTTATCGGATAGCCATGAGCGACGACCCATTTTCGCCCATCAATCAGGGCGTTGGAAATTTCCTTCTTTTCTTTAGTAGATTTGACCCCTGCTTCTAAAAGTGATCGAGCGCAGTCATCGGAGCTGAAACACCAGCCCTGGAGGCCCCGTCAGAGGCTGAGAGCAGTGATGTTCCACCCGTAACGTCATTGGCGTATTGTGGGTATTTTATGATTCATGAACAGGTCTACCTAACAATATAATTGACAATGAACTTCAATAGGTTAGGATACTCAATACTTGACAGTGGATCTATTCGGATGATAGCAAAGTAACGACGTTAGTTTCACACTTAATCCCGTATCATATTGTATATTTATTCAGGCTTTTAAACAATAATCAAAAAGAAGCGGCCAAACAACCAACGGAAAACCAAAATCCTAGGTTATTTTGGAGACGGTAGGGGTATCGAAATAATATGAACAATCGAGGGCTCTTTCACTCAACCGGAAAGAAGCGATCCCAGACATAAAAACAAAGAAGAGGTGATATTTTGCAGATGGAGGCCAGATAGTTGCGAGACTCCCTCGTGACAAAATGAATTGAACGATCTGTATCGAAAACTAGAAATCAATTACATCAGTGCGCCGGCAGCTCCGCAGCAATGTGTTTTGAGTCGAGTTCATGAAGTGACGTTGACCTGCTTGAGTCGAGTTCATAAAGTGGTTTTGGCCTGCTTGGGTGGTTGTGCTTGGCTTCCGTGGACCCGTACGCTGCTCCGTTGTCTTCAAGTTCTGTGGGCGGCATGTATCTGTTGCGATGTGTAGGCTCTGTGCCATCGGGAGAAGGGTCTTCTGTCTTGGGTTTCCGTCGCAACATCCATATCAGAACTATCACCGCAAGTATGAGAAGCGCGCCAACAGATATACCAACACCGATGCCTGCTTTGGCCCCAGTCGACAGCCCGCTGCTGGACAAACTTGTTTCCTGGGCGGTCGATGTTGGTGTCGATGTTGCTGTTGCTGTTGCTGTTGCTATTGGATCACGAATTCCTGTGCTAGTTGTGGTTTGGAATGAGCTTGTCGTAGTAACGGTAATAAGGTCCGAGGCACGCCAGCGAATAGAGACTCCTTTGGCATTGATACCGTCTGCTGTGGTCGTCAAGCTAGAAACTACCCCCCCTTTAGTGTAGGTCCACACGCTCAGCTCGGTGTGTCGGGAGGTACACTGGTTCGTGGTAAACCAAAGTAGATCGCTTCGGGTCTGGACGCTGTAGTTTCTGATCAGGGGTGAATTAAGTTAGTACGTGTCCATAATATATGTACGAACGATCAAGGATTCCTACACTCACATCGGACAGCAGGTGGCATGGGTTTCAGCAGCCTCCCCACTAGAAGTATAGGCTGATTGGAAGGCAGTCCAATAGCCGGATGGACAAATACCAGGAGAGTAGTAAAAGTCAGTCGCCTGTGCATATCCCGAAGGGAAGCAAGTACTCCAATCCGTCGGGCCCAGATTCAGCCACCAGCCAGTGAGACCTGTTGTTACAGTGGTCGTGTAGTAATCTGTACCTGACAGATTTTCAATCATGCACGTGTCGGTCGTACATGATGGTGGGGGTGTAAATGTTGTGGTCAGCGCAGGAGGGCTGGTAGATGTCATTGCAACTCCGAGACGTGACAAGCATGTACGCGAGATATGGTGGCTTCAGACCCGTGGAAGTATTTTGCATACAAGTTTTCTAGGGAATGTCACTCAATGGGGAGGTGTTCGTAGAGAGAAAGAGTATGGTGCATTGATTGTGTCGCAAAGTGAAAGAGAGGAAGAAGAGAGAGAAAGAGAGAGAGAGAGAGAGAGAGAGAGAGAGAGGAGGGAAACCCTGGATGCATCTTACATCTGATCCCTCTCAGACTAACCGCTGGGTAACCGCTGGGTGTTATGTATATGGTTTAGTGCAAAGCGGGAAGCGGGGGCCATGGGCCGAGTTTCAAAAGCTGAGAATAGAATTCTATGTACTGTACTATCTTAATTGGAGCATACATATATGTAAGTACTTTGAATAATTTGTAATAGCTCCATTTGCCTGCTACCTAGGTACTTTGGATCTCCATTCAACGTGTTTGGTTTGAAGCTCTATGTTGAGGTCCGTGCGCTTATTTCCTAATTTCCTAATTTCCTTATTCCCTGCCACTTCCCAAGTCTGTTTCTACCAAGTACTTTTGGCCTAACAAAATTTCATTAATCCCATTAATCCCATTAATCCCGACCTATTATAATCGTGAATAATCATACTTTGTTTACTTGTTTGTTTTGTTTGCTTCCAGGGTTGAGTACAGAAGAATCTGTATGTCTTTCCCCTTAATGTCTTTAAAAAGACTACGTGCGAAAGGCTAGTAAGAGTATCGTTTTTATTCTGGACCTCTTTTTTTTCCGTCTATTTTCAACAACCTTCCTCTCTTAATCCACCATCAATATGGATCAACTTCGCACCAAATTCACCACCACACTCGATGCTCTTACGTGAAATTCACAACCCCCCAGAAAAAACCCCTGGACTTCCAACAATAGGCTTAGGTCAAGGCTCTCGTTCAACACCGATCCTCATTTTCCCATTGCTCATCGAAGTGACCGATGTTTTCACTTCCAGATTTCGCGTTCACTGACCTCATTTCAATACGACACGTGGATGCAGCGATCCGCGGGGAACACGCACCACCAACCACCCTTGCTACAGCCAATACCGTCACCGGTAACCCCATCGTGCGCTACACCAACCTACCTAGGTATTCACTCACTAGGTTTGCAATTTCATAGAGAGGCTCAGCTCTATAATTCTATGTTCCTAGATGGTGTCGAATCCCATAGTCTTTGAACTTAGTTTCCAAACCTCTCCAATCAATCCAACTAACGTTGCACGATGTATGTATGTCGACGTCCATGTAGATCTCCCCTAACAGCCCCCTTGCATCTGAAACAGCCAAAATTAGCAATAAGTAGGCCGGCATTTATCTGAGTGAAAGCCAGCCACTGCAATTTACATACATTTGCTTGCCTTCGTCACACATTCCACTCAAGCCCTCTTTAAGCGCATGAGATCCTACTCGATAGGATTTCAACTTGATAACTATGTCATCCACTATTGATCATGAATTTGGCTCTGAAATAATTGTTTCAAGCAGACTATCAAGTATGCCGACAAATCCAGATCAAAGTTTGAATGGCGACACGGATAGACTCGAGGTAGAGTCGAGTGGTACGAGAACCACTGTGGAGGATGATAGTGATCAAGACATCCCAGTTGGTACAAGGCCAATCAAAAATATCTGTTGCGTTGGCGCAGGCTATGTCGGTACGTTACGCGGGTGTATGATTCTGAGATTCTTTCTCGTAACCTACAGACTGATCACCAACAGGCGGTCCAACTGCTGCCATCGTTGCATTTAGAAACCCACATATCCGAGTCACAGTCGCTGACAAAGACGAGCGATGCATTCGAAGGTGGAACTCCCGACATCTACCTATATACGAGCCCGGGCTTGCTCAAATCGTTCGGGTTGCACGAGATGGACTCCGGGATGATCACATGACACCTATGTCACCTAAAACAGAGGTACATTCACACATAGTCGAACAGTACAAAGCGCAAGAATCGCCCGAATCGCACGACAAACAACAAGGAAAAACTGCATCCTCTCGGATGCCGAACTTGTTTTTCTCTGCCAATGTTTCGAAATGTATTCGGGAGTCGGATATTGTCATAATTGCGGTTAACACTCCAACCAAAATGCGAGGGTCAGGTGCAGGGAGCGCAACAGATATGACAGCTTTCGAGGCTGTCGCTGCAGATGTTGTGCAGCATGCAAGGAACGGATCTATTATTGTAGAGAAGTCCACAGTTCCTTGCAAAACAGCACAAATGATCCAGGAGATGGTACGTCATATCATACCATCTGACCATGAAACCACACTCAAACTTTTTATCGTCATAGATTTCTGTACGTCGGCCCGATGGGCACTTTGAGATTCTGTCCAACCCTGAATTCCTCGCGGCCGGGACTGCAATCCATGACCTGTTACACCCAGACAGAGTTATCATAGGTTCTGCAACCACAGAGGGGGGAGAGCTGCAGCAGAGGCACTCGCTGGGGTCTATGCTGCCTGGGTTGACCGGGCCCGCATCATCACTACCAACATCTGGTCATCAGAGTTGGCGAAGCTCGTGGCTAACTCTATGTTAGCCCAACGACTCAGCAGCATCAACAGTATTTCGGCAATCTGTGAGGCCACAGGGGCTGAAGTGAATGAGGTCTCTGCGTCGATTGGAATGGACTCCCGAGTTGGTGACAAATTCCTCCGCGCAGGCATTGGGTTCGGGGGTAGCTGTTTCAAAAAGGATGTCCTCAGTCTTGTATATCTTGCTGAGTCCTTGGGTCTCAAGGAAGTTGGAGCGTATTGGCGCCAGGTGGTGACCATGAATGAATATCAGCGCAACCGATTTACCAGTCGTGTCATCAAGTGCCTGAACAATACTCTGGTTGGAAAGAAGATCACTCTATTGGGGTATGCTTTCAAGAAGGACACATCGGATACCCGACAGGCACCTGCCCTGGAGATAATCAAGACATTGCTTGATGAAAACCCCGGAGAAATCGCAATATTTGACCCTTGCTGCAATCCCTATGTCATCGAAAGTGAAATCCGCCAGCTACACGGATACGGACCTCCCGCTCTCAGAGATGATGGCGGTGCCGTGAGAGTCTATTCAAATGTCTATGAAGCCTGTTCATCATCCAACGCAATACTCATTGTCACCGAGTTTGATGAGTTTCGAAATACCGAATTGGTTGCCGTTCCTCATCCATCATACCTCCCACCGGGACACCTACCCTTGAGCCAAGATATGCACGACTCATTGCAAAAAGAAGTAACTCCTGGGACAAGGGGTGTGATTAGTCCACTATATGTCACCTACGCTCAAGAGAAACTTTACATCGAGCCTAATTGTGCTGCAGATTGCCCAGACTGCCGGAGAGAAAATGATAGCGAGCTTGCTGCTGGTAAACCCAACGGCAACCTTCCCAAGAAGCAGGTTGACTGGAAGAGAATTGCGGATAACATGGCAACGCCGAAATGGTTGTTCGATGGGCGATGCATTATTGAGCGCAGGAAGATGAGCCAGTTAGGTATTCGAGTCGAGAGCATTGGCTCCGCTAGCGATATCTATTAACAGTGCGGAGAACAATGGATTCTTATGGGCTCTTTGATTTTCTCTTCTTTTCTGCTCTATCTTTCCTCTCATCGCAGACGTACCATTTAATATACACTCTCATTGGACAGTTCGCATTCTTCCATTCCACCGCCATTTACCTGGAGTATGAACCAACTAACACGCCACGTGGGTCAGCGACCAGCTTAGCCCGTAGCAGTGACCGAGGTCCCGATTTTTTGATTACATTGACAATTCCAATTATTTGCCACAGGTAGCCTTGGGGCATGCCTTTGTTCGGCAGTTACTTTATTTCAATGGCCATTCTGCCTTGTTCATGCCAAAAACAAAACGTCGGTCATTCGATAGGATTCAGGACGCATTCAAGCCCAACTCGCCATAGGAAGAAGGCATTTGGAGTGAAGTATTGCACTCCATAGGTAAATGGAAAAACTGGTTCCTCGTGGATTAGCTATGACGGAGTAGTGTCAAAAGGGTGATCATAGTTTCGGATTATATTTTTCGGTACACCAAGAAACAAAATAAACATGATCAAAGACGACAAAGTATGCAATAGATCAATCTTGGTTTTTAAACCCCCCCCCTTCTTTCGTTTCTTTAAGTTTAGAGAATGCAGCAAGACTCTGGGCGCACTGAAGCCTTTTCTGTACCAGTGCGACGACTGCCTCTTGAACCAACCAGAGAAACAGTCTCTAAAGGGAATTCTGGGGACTCTTTCCCAGATATGACTCGTATGCGGTGGCTATCCAATGTAGAAGCTAACCATATAGCACGGCTCATCCATGGAATGTCCGCAAAATCAGACTGGTATTCAGAAAGTATCGCCTCTATTCTTGCCAACTGGACGAGATTATCCGATGCCGCCCAAGCAACAACTAAGCATAGAGGAATATATCCTGCACCAATCGGCCGGTAGCAAGATGCCAGTTCGGCTTGGATTGTAATCTCATCACACAGAAAGACAGCTTCACTCACCAATGAAGCGTTCCAGGGATCAAAAACTCGAAGAAGACTGTTCAATAACACGGCCAGCGTAGAGATAATAGCATAAGCTGCTTGGATACGGCAATGTCTCGCAGCTCCGGGGGATGAGAAAGATCCAAGATCAGCTTCTGCGCATCGGTCAAGATGTTGTTTTATTTGCTGTGCATCGAGTCTCAGCTGCATGTACAACTTTACAATTTCGGCAAGGTGTGGCTCAGGGTTTTGGACAAATTTAGGAAACATGGCGAGATGTTGCAGCTCAGTGGTTGATTGCGGCTGATTGTTATGCCGCGAGGTAGATAGACGACGTTTGAAGGCTGAGGTCAGTTCCCAAAATTCCGAATCCATCTTAATGCGAGGGTTAACGATCCCTTCGAGTATCTACCCAAGCCAGTATTTGTAAGTAATTTCTCGTGACATTAGCTGGATTTGTTGAGAGCAATCGGGATCCAAACATACGATAGGCACACAAAGTGTAATGACCATCTCCATCTCAAAGGTGCTATTCCACTCGTGCAGTGCAGCAGCGCTTAGGAGATGAGCTATAGCTTCGCTGTGACTAGTGAGCGAATCATCGTGTTTTCCTAGCCAACTCTGACAAATCAGCTCATATCCCATGGAAATCGCTTTGGGGGATTAGACATCTCGACATGGTCAGGCAAAGTGGAACTTTACCTGGCAGATGATGATCAAATAGACAGCACATAGGGTGTTGGGACTTCGAGCTTCGGTTGGATTGTTCAAGCATTCTCTCAGCGCCCGCAGCGACTGTCCATAGAGAAAGAGTACGTTTGGTGGGTATGAGCCTGTGTGAAGAAACGGGGAGGCGGTTGATAAAGCTCTCACGGCTGAATCTAGGACGGTGCTGTCGCCCAATCGCCGTGGAATATCCCGCAGGAAAGGTCCATAGTAGGCTATAGCATATCGAATATCGGCCACCTGGAATGCTGCTACAAAAGCTGCTGCCATTATACTTGTATCAGTGCTAGGCACCCGTGCCGGTCCCTCAATAAACACTACTTTTTTGCCAGCAGAAAATGACCGAGGCTCTAATTGACTTTCTGCTCCGCTCTGTGTTTGCATCACTTCTAGGGATTGATTCTTGAACATATACCGCTGCCGTCCTCCCCCGACACATGTCATTTTCAGACGTGCGCATCGTGAACATGTCGGTTTGAGTTGATCACACTGATCTTTAAATTAATAAAATATGACAAGCTAGCTTTTGGGTAAGAACCAAACCTTCTTCTTCACCTTGCGACACGCATCGCAACCCCGACTAGATGGAACCCCAGGCATATTTGTGCGTCACTAGGCGAGATCGCATTTGTATTTTGGCCGGGTATAAGGTGGAGGAATGGAATATTGAAGTAGAATCATCCCCAAATAGGATAGATGGCGCGACGAGGGGATGTGACGTCATCGGTCCGTTGTCACAGCACAGCCCTGCCCAGCCAAGCCCTTAAAAGTCGAGGATGAGGCCATATGTACACATCTAATTTTGTAGGTGGAAGACACAGATTGCTTGGCAAGCAGCTGAGTTCTCGTATACGTGAGCCAATCATAGTATGTTATAGCCATACTACCTAGGTACTTTGTACATATGTAAGCATACATGGGCACCTGGGCAGTCCACCCGTAATGCAGCGCACGATCATTCCCGATTGGGAAATAGAAAAAGATAGCCATAGATTAAGATGCATAGTCTGGCAATCATTACAACTTCAAATATTACCTCAAGGGGTATAAAACAATGGAAATCTAACTATAAAAAAAAAAACTACAGCTACTCTTCCACAGTCTTGAACCTCAATTTTCACCTGGTCTTTTCATCGTCTCCTATCTCAGAGCCCGACATCAAGTGCTCCTTGCAACAATGAACCACATGGGGCTGTTTTCTGCCTTGTCTACCAATACCAAACCTTCAAATAGACAGTCTTCTGTCTCATTCTCGCTACGACCTGCGCCATGGGACTCGACAACGACTCTGGTTCACCCTTCAGAGTACCCGGCAGAGGCACCGCCTATGTACTCGATTACATCAAAATACAGTGCTCCCAATGTGGTAGTATTTCGAGGCTGGGGTGAGGGTCCATGGGACTTCATCGGTGATGCACGACTTCCAAGCCTGTCTTCCAAAATATACCTAGCATTCTACAGCCAGCCAATACAGATGCGACTAAACGAATTGTCAGGCAGCTTCACTCTCGAGTCACCTGTCACAGGTCAATTGAAATGGAAACTTGACATGTTGACGGGGAGGAATATGGACTTGCAGGATGCTACTGGTAAAAGGTTAGCCAAGCTTCGACCAGGAAAATCGGGCGAGAAGGTATTGGAGATTCTCGTATCTCACGACATTCGTTTCCTTGAGTTAGTACTGCTATCAGGATGGACTGCTCGAACTATGAACAAGTCGGTGACGGAGGCAACAGTTGAAATTCTGAGCTCTGTTGTTGGGGTTTAATAGGTATCAGGGACAACTTGTCCTATTGCACGTCATGTTGCTGTCAGATTATGGTAGTACGTGGTAATGGTAGTTTTTGTAGACGAATTTTACACACATACATTTGACAAACTGTCAGCTGTGGGTTCCAACTTTGTCTGCACCTTCCTTGTTCCCTCTCTCTCCCCCTCCCCATCTTTCTTCCTCTTCCTCTTCCTCTTCCTCGTCCTCTTCCTCGTCCTCTTCCTCGTCCTCCTTCTCCTCTTCCACCTCCACCTCTCTTCTTTCTACCTAGCATTTCCCATCTTCAACTATGGCATCCTCCATCGGCTCCGTCTCTGGGAAGGAAGGCACCCAGTCTACAGCCCTGTCGTTGACAAGCCTTGCATTTGAAGAAGTTTTCCATCAGCTGGAGGCATTCGTCGTCGGAAAAAAGGCATCTGCATCATTTGTCTGTGGAGGAATTATCCCCATTGATACAAAAGCCGTAGCTGGCCCCACATCCTCCCAGCCCATCTCAGTGTCGCCGCCAGTGAGAATTTGCTGGTATACAGATGATGACAATATCTCGCGAGTGTTAACTCTACCTCTTTATTCGAACGCTGACTCCAAATCTGCATCCGATAATTTGCATCGGTTGGTGGTGGGTTGCGATCCTGCAAGCTTTGGCAGGGGACAGGAGGATGTTATTGATCCTCGATACCGCAAATCTCGGAAGCTGGAGCCCCGTCATTTCTTTACCAGCTTTCATCCATCAGACTTCGGAATGCTTCAAATGTGGAGCAAATTCTCCTTCCAAACTTCAACACACTGTCCCAGAACTCTCTACCCTTCCGGAAACTGAGCGCCGAGTTATACAACCTGAATGTATGTTAATCAAACACCTCTTCTGCAGTAAATATTAATGTGCCTGTTAACGATAGGTTTATTCGGGACCATCTGGCCATTCCCGGCAGCATGTTGACACACCGCGATCCCAGAGCCAGATCGGCTCGCTGGTTGTTTGCTTACCCGCTCCTTTCCAAGGCGGCAACTTGATCGTTCAGAACGAGGGAAAACAGGTTGTGTTTGACTGGAGTCACCAGAGTGCATCTGCAATTCAATGTGCAGTATTCTATAGTGACTGCGGGCACGAGATCGAAACGGTCACGGAGGGCGAGCGCATTACCTTGACATACAACCTCTACGTAACCGAGCCAGTAGGGGGATCGATTCCACCAAGCTTGATTCTTGATCCAAGGAGCTTGTCCCTGCATAGCTTCTTGCGAGAACTTGTCATGGAGCCAGGCTTTATGAAAAACGGTGTGTTTGCTATATCCAGTCATTTGTCATTTGAGCAGAGAATTACCAAGCTAACTCTCCCTAGGCGGTGCTTTCGGGTTCTATTATTCTCACGCTTACCCTCATACATCCGATGAGGCTCCAATGCTACTTCCAAGGGCACTCAAGGGTGCCGACCTTGTGTTGTACTCTGTTTTCAAATCCCTTGGTATATACATTAATGTTGTTCCAGTGATTATGGAAGATGACCACAAAGGAGATGACTATGAATAGGATGAGTATGAAGAGGATGACTCCGAACAATCCGAGAAAGAGCAAGGTGCATCTGAGAAAGGTGAGCAACGCCACCCGAAATGGAATATCAGTTATCAGTCTGCTTACATATTCCAGTGCGTGTCGGAGACAAGCTACATTCATACGTTGCTACCGACATGATGACTGAAATGGGAGAGGTAAGTACAGAATATCAAAGTGATTAGTTGGAGGATCGAGTAGCTTATGTGGGATAGTCGTCGCTCCGAGCACTCGATTGGGCTTGGCCGGGCAAACACAGGCCAGAAGTCACATGGACCGGTTCTCCAACACACGAAAAGATGGCCCTCAGCCATATCGCTTACGGAAACGAACCTTCGCAAAGCACAGTCTACTCGTATGCAGCGATGATAGCCGAGATCCCACCATTCATGGAGCGACAAGGTCTCGTTGATACGTGAGCTTTGTTAGGGGTTGGCTGATCTGGAACGATTCGTGTTTGCTTTCTTTGATATGAGATATTCAGCAGCTTCGCTTCGAGCTTGCTTGGTTGGAGTTGCACTTCACTTGATATTTCCTCGTGGCTTTCGTTGTGAGATGAGGCAGGATATGCTTTTAGGTCATAATTTCAAGAAATGAAGCAAATTCCCCTATTTTTCCAGCCACGTGAGTATCTGTCACATCAGTATCGGTATTATGTCGCAATAGTCAAAGGTTATAGATAGAAAAGTCTCGTGCACAAAGTCCAACATGTGCTTTTTTTTTACCGCCTTTGTATACACCTAAGCAGACATCCATTGGAAAAGACATGACAGACAACCTTAGAAGGCCGCCTAAGTGGCCTACTATTCTTGTTGAATTAATTCAATTGATAACCGAATTTTAGTTCTTGTCTCAATTTTACTCCATTCAGACCATTCCTAGTCTTAATCTTGGCAGTGGCGAGCGATGACTACATATCTGCTACAGTCGCACCTCATTAAAATGGAAAGATCGGCGGAGAACAAATCCTTCGAAATTACCAAGGTTTACAAAAGAGAGGCCTTGGCATTTTGGATTATGTAAGGTCTGGGCTTTGTATTATATAATCTTATTTTGGGGTTCTCGGGAGTCCTAAACCGGCAGAACTTTAAGCCAGAAGGCGGGATAAAAGATTAACTCAATAGAATAAGAACGTCACGTGGGCGGTAAGATAAAAAAGAATTAAACCGAAGTTTGTAATATAGAGGGACACTAGCCTAATTGGTACGGAGTAGTCTTGGCGGGATCCATTTTAACGAAGCGTTACAGTATTCTTGTCCAATTCCCGTAATAAGGCACGCGACGAACTGGAACTGTCCAAAGAGGGAAACGGTCCTCGTGTTACATACTTCGTTGTGCGTAGCCCCTTAAGGCGTTACGATCGACATCGCTTGTTGCAGAGTGGGCCTCAAAGCTTCTTCCCATTATGTTCCTCCATGGATGAATTTAGAATTCCAAAGGATCCTATTTTTGAAAGAGGCCAGGTATTGAATTCTAAACCAGTACTTTGTACTTCGTACTCGGTACAATATCGTACCCTCGTGTTAATGGCCTTATCCGAAGGAACCGAGGCTGCAACATTAAAAACAGGGGGCCATGGGCATATCGACCTATGGGGAATTGACAACAAATCTGTTATCAGACAAGGATGCCATTCTGGTGGAGATTTTGCGTGCGTCACGCTCTAGGGCTGACTAGGGGGACTACAACATAGGGGGCCATGGCGGAAGAAATTTTACGAAATACGAATACGGAGCTTGTTTTAAATTACGAGTACCGAGTACGGAGTACGGGGGTTTTGAATGGAACTTTCCTGAAACGGACAGATTCGGTACCTATGTATGATGTAGGTACATATGTACATTATGTATATCTGATGCCGGGTATTCACATATTGTAGCACAAAGCAAAAGTAACTAGACGCCTTTCCCGTCGGCAACAACTCTATTCTAATGGAAAGGGAAGATAAAAAGGGAAGATCAAAAGGAAATACATCGACTTGGGTTGGCGCGTTTGGGAGGTAGCGTGAGAAATCAAACCCGAGGTGATGGGCACAAGCTGGCGAAGCTGTGCCATAGGTTGAGCCTTCATTATCGAGATTTAGGTATGGGGCCCCATCAGGGCGTGCTGTACAACTGAACAACTGAACTTGGTTCTTCAAGAAACATTTATGTCTTTGGTTTGGGCCAGCCATCGATGTCGCCGAACCATCGCGACCGATAGATTTCATTCCCTTTCATGATTTGATGGCGCACGCCATCGACCACGAGACTGGTATAGTTCCCTCGGAAGAGCCGCCATAGAGACTGGGTGTAGAGAAAGCTTCCATCGGGGGCGAGACTGAAACCCTTGAGGTCCGACTGCGGCAACTCCACGTATTCTCCCTGACGGCTAATGCCGTGACGATCGTTGGTGGTAACCTCGAAACCAGGCATATATTTCTCGACGACTTCATCGTATTCGGCGGTGAATTTCATTTGATCGATATCGAAGGCGTGGAGACCGATATCGTTGGAGACAAGGAGGACTCGTTCATTGGGGACGGGGACGAGATCATGGGGGCCGGCCCACCAGCTGTATCCGTGACCCCATTCGACGTCGATATCGTAATACTCGGGGAATCGGAATCGATAGGCTTCATCCACGCTGAGGAGACCCGTCTCGGCATCGAAGGGGTATCCCTGAATGACGCCGTAAGCCGGCACGGGATCGGAACCATCGGCAGCGGCATCGGTGCCGGTCGCCCACAACATCTGGCCCTGCTCATCCCAGATCAACGCGTGGATGGCCCGGAGCCCTTCGACCCGTTGCAATACGGGAGGTTCATCCACGAGGGGGAGTGCCTCACTCATGTTGTAGACCAAAATCCCGTCCCAGGGTCGCTGTCCAGTGGTTCCAACCGCAAGGCGATCACCGGGCAACGGCTCAATGGTATGGGCATTGTGTAGGACATCATTCGCTCTGTTGACGGCGAAGGTGATTTTCTTATCGGTGGAGGGTTGGTCGGGGGTATGGTTGATGACGACGATGAGAGCACTGTAGACAGCAGCGACGCTTTTACCACCTCGCATCCACTTCATATCGGTCGCATCGTTGAACCCGCTATATAAACCACTTTGAATCAGAGGCGGTAGGGGTTGAGTGACATCTTCTCGTTGCCAACTCCATTTGACGACACTATTCCGGTCATGAATTTTCAATACGGGAGGGATCGCATAATGACCGGTAATGATCTCTTGCCAGGGACCCTGTACAGGAACGCTTATACCATTTTCTGCCTTGAGTCTGGGTTGAGGCTCAATCAGAGGAACTTGAAAGGCCAGTGGCTCAAATAAGAGCGAAATCCAACCGAATAAGCTCCCTAACATGATGGGGGGGGGTATGCGACCACGGGGGAGGAAGAGGAGAAACTTGATTTATTTTTATTTTTCCGGAGAGCGGGGACCACTTTTTTTTTTCTTGGCTGGGCTTTTTTTGGGGGGGAGAGGGGCCTTGGGCTTTGGGGGGCTTGGAGAGGGGGGGCCTTACAACATAGGAGGGGGTTAAGTTTGTGTAAGTTTGGGGGCTATTTGATCTCAAGTTAACCATCTTAACTATCTTTAACCATCTTAGAAAATATCTACAGAGTACATGTAAGTGACAGGTTCGTATTTATGGAGTTACATATATGTACGGGTGTAGATCTTCAATCCAATCATAGTCTTAACTATATCTCATCCATGGATAATATACTCCGTACATCCATAAAACATAAAACATGAAAAAAAAAAGAATAGTAAGACACGGTAAATGATTACCTAGGTAGTACTCCAGTAGTACTCCAGTACCTAGTCGTCTCCACCTAAATCCCACCAGGTGGACCATCCTTGGCATAGAGAGACCCTTAGGGGCCTTCTCCTTCTCTACCTCTTCTTCTTCTTCTCTTTAAATGTCCGGGGGTGTGAAGTATATATATTGAGATATATATATAACAGTTCCATTCATTTCATCATATATATATATCTCTCTATATATCATGAAAGTCGTTCACGCTGTCCATGCTTATTTAAGCCACGGCATCCGGCGGGTTCGTCTCTCACCTGGTGAGACCCTGGATGCCGTTTGGGACTTTTCCCGTCGTTATTTTTTTCACTTTGGCCTTTCTTTCGTTATTCACGGCCAAATTGCTTCATCTTTATGCTCATATCAATTCTCTACCTCTTCCCCGACTATTCTTATGGGGTCTTACCTTCTTTTTTCAAGATGTGATGATTCTGTTGCTGTTTCGCATTCTTGCTCAGAAGGTCGCGTGGCGACCGGGAGCCGCTCTGCTTGCGATCTTGGTTATCCCCTCTAGGTAAGTGACCACGTGCCCTTTTCTTTTTCCACCTTCCACTTGGAGGGTTTTATCACCGGAATTTTAATTGATCGGAATGAGAAAAAATCAATTGATCTGATATACTAATAAATCATGCTACAGTTTAATCGTCTCGTTCATGGCTGCTGCCAATACCTCCTTTTATGTCTTCACCGGTGCCGAGATCCACTGGCGCCAAGCCAAATCCTTCAATGGTGATGCCGCTGCCATTCATACCCTGCTCACCGGTTTGACCGGGTTTTTGATTGTCGAGGGCATCCTTCTCACAATTTCTTTGTTCGCTGCCCATTCCATTCATGCAATCACCGGAGGAATCCTGCATGTCTGGGCCTGGCCTATTCGGTGGCTGTTTGCTCGTGTGCGACCGCACGTGGAGCCCTTGGTCCAGCCCTTGGTCCAGCGTTTCAGCCCATCCAAATCCCCAGCCGACCTTCCCGACCCTCGAATCTACGAACAAATCTCTATGGATGACAATGATGATCTTAGTGATAATGAAGAGGGGGATCATCTCTTGAATACCGCTCAACTACCCAACCGCCTCCCGGAGTCCAAGCGAGTCACCGATGGCGTCCCCCAGCGAGCCCTCATCCTGGGATTGTTCAGTCTCTTCCTCTTCCTCCGGTTTATGCGACCGTGGGACCCCGTTTATATGTACATGTCCACCACCCTGCCCTTGACTACGGTCATTGAGGGCGCCGAGCGTCACTCCCCCGTCGATACCACGGGCACACCGGCCCGTTTCGAGTATTTGGAGCAGGCCACTTCATTGGGCCCAGCGCCCCGCTGGAGCTGGATGTCCAAGGAACCGATCGCCGGTTTCGAGGACTGGGATCAATCCGACCCCCTGGCCCTTCACTACAACCCCCAGAATGACCCATTGCACATCTCCAACCTCGACAAGCCCGTGCTGGAGGAGATTCATAACGCATTGGCTAGCGGCGATGTTAAGATCAAGCATGTCGTTTTCTTGAAGCTCGAGAGTGCACGTGCCGATATCTTCCCATTGCAAAAGGACAGTTTCATGTACAAGCGCATCGCGGAAACATGGAAGGACAAGACGATTCCCCCAGAGGTGGTAGACCGCCTGGCCAACCTCACCCGGACTGCCGAGCTTTTGACCAACTTCCCCACTGGATTTGAGCACGACGATGCCCGTTTCCACGGCCGCAAAGCGTATGGTGGCATCAGTGCCAAGGATGCCATCACCTCCTCCACCTATACTCTCAAGAGTTTGACGGGAAGTTTCTGTGGTGTGACCCCAATGGTCGCCGATTTTAACCGCGAATTCGAGCACCACATCTACCAGCCATGTCTGCCCCACGTCTTCGACATGCTCAGCCAGCAACCCGATATCACCAGCGAGACTGATGACTTTACCAAATGGCCGTGGCATTCGACCTTTATGATGTCTGTCACCGAAATGTACGACAACCAGAACAAATTGACTCCCCACCTGGGATTCCGTGACAAGCAGACCAAGGAGACCATCATCAAGCCCGAGGCCAAGCATTATCCTGTGACCAGTTCCGAGATCAACTACTATGGCTACCCCGAATTGGAACTTCGAGAGTACATCCGTGATGCCATCGATGATGCGGAACGTGACCACCAGCGTCTCTTCCTCAGCCACCTCACCAGTACCACTCACCATCCGTGGGGAGTTCCGAACGACGCCTATGAAGATATGATGGGCTCAAAATCCGGTACCAACAATGATATGAATCGATACCTGAACTCGGTTGGTTATGTGGATGATTGGCTCTCGGAGCTCATCGATATCCTGGAGGAGAAAGGAGTTGCCAATGAGACCTTGTTCGTCATGGCTGGAGATCACGGCCTTTCCCTCCCCAACGACGGAGGTATCACCCCCTATGACAACCCTCACGTCGGCAGCTTCAAGGTCCCCATTGTGATTGCACACCCTCTGCTTCCTCCCGTCCAGATCGACACCCCAGTCATCAGCACCCAGATCGTCCCCACCATCATCGACTTGTTGATCGAGTCGGCATCCCTCAGCCAGGATAGCACACGCTCTGCCCGCGATATTCGCTCGCTGTACGAAGGTCAATCCCTGATCCGACCACAGATCGTCCAGCAGGACGGACGCGAAGCCTGGCATTTCACCGTCATGAACACCGGTGGTTCATGGCTATCTGTTCGGTCGGCCGCCCGGCCCGAGTTCCGCCTAGTGATTCCGCTCGTCAATGACGTGGAGTGGCGCTTCTCCGATGTTTCCAAGGACCCGAACGAGCTGAACCCGATCGAGCGCTTCAGCCTGGCCGATCTAGCAGCCGCGGTTGACAAGGAGTACCATGATGAGGCAGTTCTCGACTGGCTCTACAACGCATCCTATATCACCAACTGGTGGGTTCTGGAGAACTGGGACCGATGGAGATACTCCCCAAAGGCCACAGAAGAGGCCAAAGAAGACAAAAGCTAAGCCTTCTCATGAACCGACTTGGACGCGAATCTTTATTTATATCTCATCCATCTTAATACTTGCATGCCTCATCTACCAAGTGTCTACTTGGGATGGGCACTCTGGGTTTGCGACAATGCCCGCTATGGCGGGATCCGCCAGTATTGGTCCTGGAACATGGAGGTCGGGAGCAAGCCTAGCATAGCTTCGCCGGGTCCATCTTGAAGCCTTATGTTGATCGTTTGGTTCAAAGTCAGCCTCGAGAATGAGACACCGTGTGTCTCAGAGCGTGGGCTCCCGACAAATCTGGCATGTCGTCCGGAGTAGAAGCGATTCTTCTTCGTGTACTTGTTTATATATCCATCCTATTTATCGCGAACACCTGTACTTGATCATAACTGGATATCTTTTTTGTTCTATTATTGCAAATATCACCCTTGGTTCTCTCTCACATTGATGGTCTTTTCAACCTGCGTAGGTCCACGGGTGTCTCGGGGATACTCCCTACATGTATCTAAAGTATTGTAAACTACCCTTACTTAGGTTAGTGACTACACGTGTAAAGGAATCGATGGTTCATCAGATAGGTTTTTAACCTTCTATTGACTTAAAGATGTCTCCGCGGTCTATGATTATTGAACAACCTTGGAACCTACCTGGGTACCTCTCAAAAGATCTCCGAAAATATCGTTTTTTTTTTTTTTTTTAGGGCTATTATTATCCTCCAGCCTTACATCCCGAACTCCTCGCTTTTAGATGGTTTGGGGAGATTATTGATATAACAGTAGGTCACCTCTCCAAGCAATTACATACCTCCAATACTCGTATGGTTGTAGAAATTCAACGGTATATGATTAGTCTCTACTGCACATGGATTTGGAGAACCATGAGCGAATACAATCAAGCTAAAAAGGTCACAGAAATAAATGTGGGTGGCAACAGTTATTCATGCACATTAAAGTATTGCGTCAATGATCAAGGTACTTCCATAAGGAATATGTACAGAGGGGCTCGACGGGAGACCCGAAAGTAAACAAACAGGAAAAGGAGAAGCAAGAACCAAGTCAGTACTGATTTCCGCCACGCCGATTAAATGCTGTAGGTTCGAAAGAAAACACCCGGCGTGCCGGGGATGCAAGGAAGACTCGAGAGCCTCATTGCTCATGTCACATCGCTTCATGCAAACAAAGGAGATGGAAAAAAAAGAAACAAAGGAAAATCGTGGGAACGCCATCCACAACCAACAGAGAAGCCTCCAGAGAAACAAGGGATATCCAACTCCAACTCATGAACAGAAATCAAAAATTAGACTAGATGACGACGACATCACCTTCGGCATCTGCGGGATCGGAGACCATCATGTCACCGTATTTACCAACTGCCAGCAACATCGTATCATCCTCAAGATCAATTGCGCTGTCGTCATTGTTATGACCTTGGAAGCCCTGATCCTGAAGAGAGAGTCGCTTCTCACCGGGAGGGTGTTTGAAGTCCGGGTGCTGACTGGGAGGGTGGCTTGGATGGCTATTGTGAGTCACAGGAGGATTCGGGTTGAATTTGACGTCGGATTCATTTGATGGGTCAAAAGGGGATGTCTCGGAAACAGATGCATGTTTCATCTGAAAGTGGCCGACTGATTCGGAGCCAAACGTCGCACTTTGCAGGGATCCGGGGGTGTTGCGCATGAACCCACCCTTCTCTGCTTGCCATACCATCATTTCGTGGAAGAAGACTTTGGTCATCCACCAGGCACTAAAGCTTGGTGCGCCAGCCAGGGTAAGTCGGTGCAACACGCTATCCCATAAGGCATCAACTTTTTCAATGACACATTGCGTGCGGTGATTGGCAAAAGCGGCGGGGATGTTGAGAATGAACTGAACCCATTTGTCAGGGAAGTTGTACTCGTCTCCGGGAGCACTTTCCACAGGGAACTTGTGAGCCTCAACTGAATCGGGGGTATCAGGTTGGGTGAAGAAAAGCAAGCTTGTGGAGGGGTCGGCATCAGTCAGTGGAGTTAAGAGCGCACGGATGTCATGCTTGAGAATTTGCTCCGTCGCTAGCTCAGCACAGGTTGGAATGTTCGCCTTGGTCATCATATCTCTAGGATTGACCATCGTTTTGAAGTCGGTCCACATTTGGTTTCGGTTATCCGGGTGGCAAAGCCAGGCGGCAGCGGCATTGGCAGCCTGATTCACATCAAGCATGTGCTTGAGGAGATTGCAAAAGATATGCGCGGGTATCAAGCGTGCTAAAGAGACATGAGTTGGTTGAGTCTTAAAGGTCTCGGCGATGTGACCGCAAAGCCGTTGAGAGATAGAGTTAAAAGCGTCCAAGACCGGCTTAGGAACCACCTGGGTTGTTAGGGGGCGCCACAAACGCAATCATCTTCTGATACATCATCCAATCACATTCCTTGATCCAGGAAGCAAGGTTGGGATGGGTCAACAACTTTTGAACGGGAACAGTCAATGTTCCATGGAAAGCAGAGAAATATTTCATAAGATTTCTTTCCTTGCAATATCGGAAGCTGTCGATGACCGAAATACAATGGGAACGATATAGGGCCGCAAGGGCTGCAGCAACTTTCAAGTCGGTGTTTGCAGGTAAGTAGGCACGGATATCGGGAAGTTGAAGGGTATCGTTATCAACCAAGGTGGTCTCATCCATCGGGAACTGAAGCATCTGGTGTATCATTTTCCCAGCCTGCTGGGCTACATTCTCGCGAGTGATCGTTGCATCTGGCCCAGATGGGGTGTGGCCTTGGCAATTGCAGTCGGTAGGAGAGGCATTGTTCGGGAAGCGAGGAGCGAAGGAAGTAGTGGGAGATGGGAATATGGCAGTGTCAGCAGTCGGTTGCTGTACGCTAGCACTAGTCATTTGTTAGTGAGAGCAAACGAAGACTGATGTCAGTTATATCTCACCTTCTCGAGCGCATCGCACTGGCAGCCCTGGAGGGCATAGAAGCAGGGCCATTTGAATGATGAGCAATTTGTGGATTGAGAGGCGCAAGCTTTTGTTGCTTTTCCTCAATGACCGACAAATCGACGTAGTGATACTTGGACTCGCCTCGAACTCCAAGACGCCGGGTCTGTACATTGGGGAAGATGATGCGAACCAACTTTCCGAATGATGCAGGGTTCAGTACTGAGACGCGCTCTGTTCCACAGTTCTCTGCATAGCAGCAATAGACCCGGTCACGGCGTACTGAACCACTGCTCTTGCGACAATTTTCCCTCAGCCTGTGCACCCAGTTAGACGAATTGTTGCAGGGCATTTGTGGCAATATGTCTTACCAGATCATCGCGAAGACCTGCTTCACTTTCTCAGCTTTGCCCCCGGCGCCCTCATTCTTCATAACTTCAGCCGCCATTTGCTTGAGATTCCATCCCTCATACTGGCGAAGCAGCTTCCGCAACTCGTTGTCATTTGCCACAGTCGAGCTAGCTCCTCTTTTCTTTTTAGCGCCTGGCTCTGAGATCTCTTGGTCCTCCACGATATGGTCCGGAAGATGGTTCTCAACACCACTGTCATACAGTGGCTGGTATTGAGGGGCAGATACATTAGGCAAGCCACTTGGCATTTCGGCCTGTACAGAGTGGTGGGAAAGCGGGTGACCCTGCATTGGGTGATTTGGAAAGTCTTCGGCTCGAGACATCCCGGTATGGGTCTCTTGCATTGATTGATCCAGCGGTCCGCCGTTATGGTGTGAAAGCTGATGCCCAAATCGCATTAGCATGTCCTCCGGGTTGTTGAACATATGCTGGCCCGTTCCGACTTGCGATGGCATAAACTGTGGGAACCCGTCGAGGTGCTGGTCTTGGGTTTGCTGGGTGGTACTCGAGTGGATGCTTGCTGTTGATCCTCTGGACCGAGGACGACGGCTAGCCCTTGAAAGGGCCTCGGAGCGTGCTCGCACAGGGTCTGCAGTACCTGGCCGGCTTTGAGGAGCAATCTGTGTTGTCTGGGACACTACACTGCCCTGGGAGTGAGCTCGGGCTTGCAAGCACGTTAGCATGAGGAACCAAATGACCCGCAAAGGATACTTTTTTTTAGTGCTGTACTGCACTTACCGAGTTCTGGCGGCATCATGCTCTGCTGCGTTTGAGTTAGTAAGTGGAGGAGCCGGTAACCAGGGCGATGGCCAGTCGTTTGTCTCGCTTCGCAACGTTCACAAGACCATTCAAATCCAAAATTAGGCAGGCACACCCGACAAACAAAATAGGTAATCCAAAACAATCCAAGAACATTAACCAAAAAGTGACGACTTGTCGCGAGCCTTGGGCTCTGAAAGGCTAGCCGTGTTGTGTGAGTCGAGGGAGGATAAACAGAAAAGGGCCCGTTCCTCTGACAACGTTGTTTTTCCCATCCAGTCACGTGCTTGCGGTCAGCATTCCCAAACAAAAACAACTCTTTTTTAACAATGAGCAGAGGAATGATTCACGTTTTAACATGGACTTGGGGTTTATTAAGGACAAGGAAGATAAATATTATATTATAAATATACTCAGTGTTGTTTACAAGTTACAGTATTTCATGTGTCTATGTTCCGAACTAGAGCTCGAATGGGGTCATATATCACGTGATCTGTGTCAACACTACCTTGTATAGGGCTTTATATAGACCCTGGAGGACCAAAATAATAAAACACCTTGGACAACATATATCAGGCAGTTATTTCTTCTTATAGCTATCCTACCCATATGTCAACAAAATACTCTTGAGGTGGGTGCATCGGAACCCTTGCAATCCCCATTTTGGACCTTTGGGGGATACAATTACATCATTGGGACCGACACTCACAACACACAGCACCTTTATATACAACCCAACGGAGTGGACGTGGATATACTTTGTATATGTGTGATGTAGTTGGTTTGATATGGTGTAAGAGGCATTACATCCAAGGTACCACTGACCACCCTCTTTGTATTTCTTTGAATGCTGCTCAGGTACGATGTATATATCTATCTCCACTACAAACGTATAAACATTCTACATGATCGACACTACCCAGACTACTCTGTAGTATTTACTACTATACCCATGGATCTCACGAATTTCCCTGTCCTTTTTACATAAACAAGTACTTTAATATGAAATTTATGCATTTGCCAAGAAAGAAGCGAGTGGTCCGACATTAGGAACCACGGAAATAGTAGGTAAAGGTCCACGCGGCCTACAAAATTAGGAACCCATACAACCATACCCTACTCCGTACAAGCATAGTACATCGATTTGGATCGGCATTTGAAACATTTTCCTTGGCATTTAAAGAGACAAATCAGATGGCGTAGTCTACTTTTTTGTAGGTAAAGGTAGGGCTGTGA